TCTATAACATTACCGTGAATTTTTCATAATAAAAAAGTTACGGTCATTTAAGTAAAAACCTACCCACCTCGCCGAGTCGGGAGTCGCGAGTGAGACGGAGAGGGAAGGATAGTCAGCAGCGTTCGCGCAACAAGGAGCGATGCGTAAGAGGTTCTACTTTACTAAGAAATTTCTCTCCGAATACCAAAACTAGCTATTTAGGCCGTTTACAAATGCATTCCGCCGAGTTGCATTGTAAAATCTCAAACAATTCATTAACTCCATGTATCTCAGTTCTTTGGAAAAATATATAGGTACAAATAGGTACCTTTCCCTGTAAATTTTGGGGGTTACTCCACATCAGGTATCTCTTGTGCTGTGCTGTATATTGCAAGATCAGCAGTAACAACGGTATGATTTTGTCCCAAAGATTCAGGCTTGTTTTTTGATTTCACTAGACGATTGGTTAGGATGGTATTGTAGCTCGCTGGTGGAGAATTAAAAAACGGCATAGGTATATTATATTGAATGGTAGATACCGGAACTTACTTAGGAGGATTATCAGCAGGTACTTAGGCTGTTAAAGTCAGTTATCTGGTGCTGGTCGTTATCTAGTGATAGGTAAACGAGGAATTTGGATTTCTTCTGTCGATGTATCTCGCTTTTGAAAAAAGACTGTGCGTTGAATTTTTTTCGTCTGTTTCCACAGAATATAGCCTATACTTATTCTCATTCTGTGACGGTTTCCTCGTTGATGTCGAAGTTATTAATGGTCGCTGTGATAAAATTATCATTTTTTATTTGACAAATTTTTGTGAAATGTAGGTAGACACCCTTAGCAGAACATGTAATATTGACGTTTACTGTACTTGTTATGCCACTGTCGGAGAACATTTTCTGACCCGAAAGACCAATTTGCAAATGAGTGTTTGAAAAATGACCTTAAAAAAAACTGTTCAATAATTTTGTTCCGTAAGTATGTACCTAGACAACAAACTTCGTGGAATTTTGTCAATTTTCGTTGTCCGGCCAAGAATTGCAGTGGAATTATTTTTTTCGAATTTTCAAAAACTAATTTCAGATTCAAAAACCCCCAGATACCAAATTTCGTCGAAATCAACATTTTTTCGCACCCCTATTGAGGGGTGTGTCCTTTTGCGGTAGGAATTTTGAAAAATTATTTGCAAAACCGGAAAGGGCATACACAGCAAAACCTATTCAAAGACTTACCACCAGTCTCTGTAACTGTTGCTGAGAAAAAAAGAAACTTTACCACTTTTTTGAGGGTGGCTCCTAAACGAATACATGGATTTTTTTTTTTTTGGTGTTTGGATCCATCGTTCCTCGAAATGGGGGTTGAAATATATTGTGTGATCAAAACTCTCTAAACCTTCCCCATATAGTTTTTATTCGTTGAAGTTTTTTAAAAATAAAAGCGACTATAGTTTCGGCGTACTGCCATCATCAGGCGATGTGAAATTTAACAGGAAAACGGTAAGTTACAAACGTTGAAGACGAATAAGACGAACATGTTGTTTTTTTAATTATTAACTGGCCGAAGCCAAGTGAAAAAACCTGAAGGGTGGTTAAACCGGAAAGGTTGTCCTAAGTTTCAAAACGAATTATTATCAAGCCTTGTAAAGACAACCAACCGGAGGGTTGAATTATTACATTAAAAGTTGAAAGTTGAATTTAACACATTTCAAAAGAACCGGGGGGGAAAAAATAAACTCATAAAAGTTTTGAAACTATTGAGATGACTACATATTTAAATTATTTAAGTTAAGTTTAAATTCGAGATCATGCAGACGGCATGTCTAGAAATGATTGACCACCAGGTTTACCTATCACTAGATAACGACCAGATAACTGACTTTAACAGCCTAAGTACCTGCTGATAATCCTCTTAAGTAAGTTCCGGTATCTACCATTCAATATAATATACCTATGCCGTTTTTGAATTCTCCACCAGCGAGCTACAATACCATCCTAACCATCGTCTAGTGAAATCAAAAAACAAGCCTGAATCTTTGGGACAAAATCATACCGTTGTCACTGCTGATCTTGCAATATACAGCACAGCACAAGAGATACCTAATGTGGAGTAAACCCCAAAATTTACAGGGAAAGGTACCTATTTGTACCTATATATTTCACCAAAGAACTGAGATACATGGAGTTAATGAATTGTTTGAGATTTTACAATGCAACTCGGCGGAATGCATTTGTAAACTAAACGGCCAAAATAGCTAGTTTTGGTATTCGGAGAGAAATTTCTTAGTATAGTAAAATCTCTTACGCATCGCTCCTTGTTTAGCGAACGCTGCTGACTATCCTTCCCTCTCCGTCTCACTCGCGACTCCCAACTCGGCGAGGTCGGTAGGTTTTTACTTAAATTACCGTAACTTTTTTATTATGACAATTCAACTCATGTATAAAAAATCGCATAAGCCGCAGTGTAATTGTCACTTTGACAGCGGCAAAAGTTACTGCAACTTTTCCAGCGACAAATGCACTAGTGGTTTTTTCACTTATTCATTTTCGAACCAATTATCGCATTATCCTTTCCCATATGACTAGTTTGACGTCTGTCAGTAATTGACTAGTTTGTGAATTTCTTGTTCGTTAAATTGTCCTGCCGAATTACACTCGAGGTTTGTATTTAAACCGAGTAAATTTGCAATTCAAATCTGTTTCCTTTTAGCAATTGGACTCGAAAAACTGTCAACCTAAAAATGCTCCACCTGCGGTGTCGCATTTTTATTAGTTGACAGTTTTTCTCGTGAATTGCAGGCAACAGATTTTCATTACCTTAACAACCCAAATTTACTCGGTAAAATACAAACCTCTTGTGCAATTATAAGTGACAATTCAACTCATGTATAAAAAATCGCATAAGCCGCAGTGCAATTGTCACTTTGACAGCGGCAAAAGTTACCTGCAACTTTTCCAGCGACAAATGCACTAGTGGTTTTTTCACTTATTCATTTTCGCACCAATTATCGCATTATCCTTTCCCATATGACTAGTTTGACGTCTGTCAATAATTGACTAGTTTGGTGAATTTCTTGTTCGTTAAATTGTCCTGCCGAATTACACTCGAGGTTTGCATTTAAACCGAGTAAATTTGGGTTGCTGCAATTCAAATCTGTTTCCTTTTAGCAATTGGACTCGAAAAACTGTCAACCTAAAAATGCTCCACCTGCGGTGTCGCATTTTTATTAGTTGACAGTTTATCTCGTCGAATTGCTAGGCAACAGATTTTCATTACCTTAACAACCCAAATTTACTCGGTAAAATACAAACCTCTTGTGCAATTATAAGTGAAAAATTCACGGTAATGTTATAGAAAATAAAATAATCACAATGCTTTGGAGCATCGAATGAGCTATAAATATTGGAAATCGATATCGTGAAATAAAAAGTTATGAGAGTTCAAAGTGCGCACTTTTCATCTGCTACACGAATTTTGGAAGTTGACGGTCATTTTTCTAAAAACTGTGCATAACAAGGTAGGTAAATATGAATGATTTAGATTCTGCTATAAATGTACTTTCATTTTACAAAAGGAATTATTGATGTATATCGCTTAGTTGCTGAGAAAATAAATACTTTCGGTGGTCTAGTCGCGCGCGCGAAAATGAGTAAAGTTCAACTTTAGCGGCCTATAACTTTTGTCAGGACCACGGGAAAATGTCGTAAAGCGAGATTCTGAAGGTTCAAACATTTCTGAACAAAATGGTGTGGGTCCCAATTCTTTCTACTCCGAAAAAAAAAACTACCTCAAATAAGCGAGTTAGCGCCGGCTCTCCGCTGCACTAACATCGTTTGCTATCCCGATGTGCCTGAAAGAAGCTCTTCAAGATAAACAGAACTCGATACAAAAACTTATTAATTATTTGGTCTGCACAAAATTAATATTGCAAGTGTAATAATCAATATATTTGAAACAACATATGTAATCATATCCAGTGAAGTGAATAGTAGTCTCAGTATATGTACATAATTATTGATGTATATATTTAAATTTACTAAAATATTGTATACAGATGCATATAGCCTTAGCAGCTGCGCATCTTTTTTTAAATTTAAAAAAAAAAGTTCTCTTGACTCTTCAATTTGAAAAATTTCGTTTGACGGCGATGACATTTTCAGATTCAACAACGAATTATGAGTACTCGTAAATTAGATAAGATGGGACAACTTATTTATTAAACGAAAATGACCTTCATAGATACACTATTGTAACGTGATTTATAAATTCGGGTTCGATTTATATCAATATTTATTAAACAAAACTAAAACACTATAAAAACTGTACAATTTATATCGACTATTTATATCACACACTTCGCAATTTATATTTCCGCGCTCGATGTTTCATCCGTACTCGATCTCGTTCGGTAGTAAACTCACTGCGATGTTCGGTCCGCAACCATTTATACACGCGAGCAATGTAATTACCGGATAAGTCTCGAATATTCCTATACAAATCCCACTATCGCGCGCGTAGAAAATTCCAGAGCGCCAAAGGCGACGTCATGTCTGGAGCGTTTCCGTTACACTATGATATTCTATTTCCTTACATTAACACATTTAAAGGAAATTCATAAATTATCAACTTCAGGAATGGCTTTCAGCTCTCAGACAAAGCGATGCCGGAATAACGCGATACTACGAATATAATGCCGAAAACCCAAAAGTTGCAGAGCTCTCGATTGATTAACAAAAGTCGCCTGAACGGCCGACAGTTGGTGAAACAATAAGTTTCTTTTTGAGAATCAAAAATTCGCTAAAAGCTGTCATTGCTAAAAACATGCCTTAGTAGGGGTTTCAGGTAGATGCGCACGCTTTAAAAGAAATAATAAACAGTGGTTCGGATTACGAAATATTGGAGTTCGGAGTATGTATATCATTTTACAATTTGGCGCGTTCGTATTTCGGAGTAAAAGGGGTTCAGATTATCCATACATTACTGTATTTGAAAATGTTTTTTTATAACATAGTTTCTTTTGGTGTAGCAACTCAAGATGACGAAAATTTCCAAGAAAACCAACCGCAAGAGGATCCTATTGGTTCAGATGATTTAATTGCAGTACCGTTGGATGACGATGCTGAACCAGAGGCTACCATTGAAGACCAGGTGGTAGACATAGAACAAGGAGCAAGTGAAGAGATGTGTATCATACCTGATACGGAACGTGTTATATCACAGGCGGAGAAAGATGCAGTTGCCTCAATGGTACCTCTTAGAGATCCCACAGAATCTGAACTTTTTACCAACGATCCTTCATCAGAGACCACCTCCGCGGAATCGGCGACAGATAATTGCAAGGGTTCAAATCCAGAAAACTATGTGGTGTCTCTTTGTACAGATGAGAATGTGAATTCATGTATGCAATGTTGTTTGGTGAGTAGCGATGATGGTAAAGGTACCAGAGGTAAATTTCACCTCTTGTGTAGTAGATGTGATCTTAATATACAAAGTACATCATAAGACCCCTAAAACACGAGAGTAAAAAGCAAAGAATTTATTGGCCATAATGACATTTTTTTCACTTCCGGTTTGGCAACCCCAATTTTTTAAAAATATTTTTAATACACAATTTTAAAAACCACGTTCAAAAATACTAGCAACAATGTCTTTATCTTTATGGAAAGTTGCGTAACACACCACCCACACACCATTTGGAAACAAAAGTTTGCACATCAGCCTCTGGTAGATTCAATCGATACATATTTTTGTCCACTGGGTTACATGGGCGTTAATAGTTATTTATTATAGAAGGCAATAAAGGGTTGTAAGTGTACCTTTATCGTCGCGTATAATACAAAACTTTATTTTATAGCAGAAGCGATATAAATCATCATACAACTTCTGAAAATGTTGAATTTAATTTAGACGTCAAACATAGCAAGCCTAGCGTCTCTCGACGTTTCCATGAAAGCAATATTGTTTTCTGTTTTGAACTTCATTTTATTTCTTGCTCCGCGCCCTATTTCTATTAAGAATAAGAGATATTATTAGAATGTACAATCTACCCTTGCTGTTAAAGAGAGATTTAGCCTACTCATTTACACTTATTAAAATGTTAATTTAACATCTGCTATAAAATAAAAATTATTAGATATGATTAGTGTAAAATTTATTATTACAGCCTCGAAAATCAAAATATTCCGTTTTGCATGAAAAAGTCATGACTTATATATGCGATGATGGGTGCCTGAGCAACTTCAAACGTAGACATACCGATAAGATAATTATGAACACTGAAGGTGACCTGAGAGTGAAAAAATTAACATCGGGTGTTAACAATGATAACATGGTGGGCAAAGTGAAATTCTGTAGGAAGTGTGCGGAATGTCAAAAGGAATTGGAATTGAGTAATTCGCATTTATCCTGGCAAACAATGGAATTCTGCACTGAACTTTGCTTATGTAAGTGTTCGACTAATCTTTTCCAATACTAATTAATGTTTTATTAGCCAAGTATCAAAAGAGAGTTGGATCGAAATGTTCCAATTGCAACACAATTGTTCGTACAAACTGTTTAGGAAAATACTGTGTACGGTTTGGTTACAACATTAGACAGTTTTGCAGTAGCGTATGTCTAGAAGAATTTAAGAAGGGCCTCAAAGTTTGTTCTTATTGTCAGAAAGACATGTCAACTGGCGGAGGCGATGGATTCTTGGCGCCCGTAGGAGACAAAGGGCAATTTAAAGACTTCTGTACACAGTCCTGTATGGAAAAATACGATATTATGAGTAACAATCAAAGCAAACACTCCAATACGAGCGGCAATATGTGCTCTGTATGTTTAAAAGAGAAACCGACTACTATCGAATTTGAACACAACAACAAAATGAATTTCTTTTGTGGAGAACCATGCTTTGTGGCCTTCAAATTCGTCAACAATATCGCGCCAGGTTGAAAATTTCACCATGCGTATACCAGTTGTGATAACATACTTTACTTCCAGGAAAGTGTAATATGTGCAAAAAGTACTTTGACAACAAAGTTCTGGAAGAAAATTCCATGTTTTATGACAACGCCTTGCTCAGTTTTTGTGCAAAAAGTTGTCAAAATATCTACATAATTGGTCATAGAAAAATCGTACCTTGCAGTTGGTGCAAGGTTAAAAAATACAATTTTGACATGATCAACCGTCTGTCCGCATCTGGGGCCTCATTGTTAATGTGTTCTTTAAATTGTCTTAACTTGTATCAAGTATCGATAAATGCTGTGCAATCAAAGAAGTGAGTCCTTTACATCTCAGTTTTAGAATTTTGCGCTTGATGATTACAGGAAAAACTGTGATCACTGTCAAAAGAGTTACAAGCCGTTATATCATTTAACAATGTCTGATGCGTCAATTCGTAATTTCTGCTCCTATCCATGCGTGATGGCGTTCCAAAATCAGTTTTCAAAAACACCCATTACACTTAACGAACCGGAGGATGGTCAACGTACTCGTACTTTGCCTGTACCCACAAGTGGACCTAAAAAAACCAAGAAATTACTAAAGCCAAAGAAGAAGAGCGCAGGTATGCAGGCATTTATTTATTTTTCAGCTATCTGACGTTATGGATAGGGAACTTCATTGTGGTTTTCATGTTTATTTTATTTGGTTTAGTATTAATTTGTTAATAAACTAATGTTTATTTACATTTACAAATCCATATACTCTTCAATAAGTTAAAAAGTCTATGCACATGTGTGACCGACAATAGTAGAATACGTAGATTCGTCAACAATATCGCGCCCCCTACCTTGTTGCTGTGTTGTCAAAAAATTTACCAAGGCTGAATGAGCACATAAGTTAGTTATTGTGCTTTTGCTCTACCATCTTAACCAAGATGAGAGTATGCCAGGAACAGCACAAAATTTACCTCCTGTGCATCAAGGCTGTTTTGCAATTTACGCAATGAAATTGATGACTAAATAAAGATTTTGCTCTACCAACTTAAGCATAAAGAGATTTTGATAGGAACACCATTTGCTCTGTAAAAAGGCAGTGTGTGTTACCGTTTCCCTGACACTTGCCCATTCGAAAAGAAACGTTTGTTGCTGCATTAGTGAGGGGCCTGCATCTATCAAACGAGACATCAACAAACTTTCTGCCTTTTCCTGTGTGGAGATCTGGTCCTCACATTTTATTTTTTGGAAATGTTAAAAAAATGTGAGCTGTAAATTAATTCAAAACTTCTGTCTGAAGTTTGACACAGAGAATAATACCTTCCCGAAATCGAAACTATAATGCCTATATTGATCATGATAGAGTACCACAATAGATTCTGTCCAACATTGTGACTATATCGTTTTGTTCATGGGTGTTATGTATTGCAGACACCAACATTTGTCACTTCCTGAACTTTTTCTCCCCTATATGGGGACTATTGCGGTACTCTATCAATGCAGGTAATTTAAACAGCATAATAATAATTGAAACGTTAAATTGTCATCTTAAAAGGTTTTCTATTTTAGTACAGCTTTTGGCTGGCTGAATGCTGAACTATTGCAATCAAAGCAAGAATAGTGACCTCGGGTGATACATTTTGAAAGAAATGTAGTAATTTCCATCTCTTCCTACAATTCATACATTCACGTACACATTATTGTCCTTAGCACTAAGTTTTCTAAATTAAACGGTAAATTTGCAGACACGTACAAAGAATCTAGAGACTAATTATGAATTCTTTTGAAAAGAGTAAACCTGTCACCGAATGGACCTTATCTCCTACCACCGTAAATACAAGGCCTCGGTGCTGTAGTGTGACGTCATCATAATGTGGATACATAAATTATACTTTCCTTCACAGAGTAAACTTAAACCATAGGTGCTCTCAATATTTCTTATGGCGAAAAAACAAAGAAGTGCAAGCTGTTGAAGTCTTTACGTTGAATCCGCGCCCTTATTTTCCTGAATTTAATCTTATCTTGAGAACTTTAAACAAAATTCAGGTGAAGGATGGCACCTGCATTGTCATGATCCCTTATTGGAAGTTACAGTCTTGTGCTCTCTTTTTGTAAATGTAGAGTTAGCAATTTATTACCCTTAGGAACAGACATCTTTTGGTTTCTTCTTACAGCCGACATCCACATCCATTGTAGCAATTCTTATCATTGAGGCTTTCAGACTGAGAGGAGTTCTCGTAGAAGCACTATCTGCCACAATGAAATCTTTACTGTCTTCAACACTTATACAGAGTGGTTCCAATTCGTGGCTCACCATTGGGATCTCCGTAACGGTGAGAGTGTAGGTTAAATGGGGGCAAAGTTGCCCCTTTTGTTACTAAAAAAAATCTTTGAAAATAACTGAGATATCACCACTGAAAATGTCAAACTTTGTTTTCATTTTCCGAAGCTTACATGGTCCGAAATGGACATTTTGTTCCCGTTAGCGCCTTCTATGGGCACTTTTTTGAATAATCTGTTATCAGAATTTCCATAACAAGCTAGATGTAGAAGCTACAGGCTTATAGACGCCATCATAGCCATGTTGATTCAGCAAGATCTAGTTACCTGTGGATGTTTTGTTGAGAAGTAAATGAAAAACATCTAATTTGAATTTTTCTTGTACTTGTTTATTTTTCTGTTTTGTCCTCTTATCTCATCTCGTAAAATTGTAATATAGCGCCCATAAGAAGTAAGACAGTAGTACCCTGTATCTTTTACATTTAGCATGTTATGGAAATGCTGATAACAGATGCAGATTCTTAAAAAAAATGTGCCCATAGGAGGTGCTAACAAGAACCGTCCATTTCCGACCGTTTAAGCTAGGGAAAATGAAAACGAAATTTGACATTTTCAATTTTGTAGTGATTTATCAGTTATTTTCAAAAATTTCAAATGCGTTTTTTTAGTCACAGAAAGGAGCAACTTTGCCCCCATTTAATCTACACTGTATCTCTCACAGTTACGGAAATCCCAATGGCGAATCACGAATTTGAACCACCCTGTACAGTACAATCTGATCTATAAGATATGGTAGGAGTTTTGCAATAATACCACTGCTGACGCTTTTTTCAAGAATTTTATGAACATTTTACGCTGTATACAGAAATTATATGACAGAATAGGACGATATTATATTTACTTTATTTATTGTATTATTTAACAGAATTAATAGCTAAGTGCCCGGGCGCGGTCAAGGTTTGTCGCCCTATATTTTATGACCTGGTGAACAGTTTGAGATCCCTATCGTTTATTTAAAAAGAGTCTCAATTTTTTATTCTATTCTGGATTTGAGTACTTTTAGAGCGAGCGATTGTTTACGAGAAGGGGGGGCTCTTGACATTACATCTATAAGCTTTCGTTTGATACCTACATGATCCATGTAACCGATAAACAACACACACAACAATAAAGACAGGCAGACAGAAAACAGCGTTTTTTTTTTAAATTTTCTTATAATGCGGTAAAGAGGATATACTTACGACTACTTTCTGAACTCGAACCTAGAAACGCAAGAATTTAGTTATTTATTACACAAGACTATAAAGGGGCATTTTAACCATTGAGAGAATTAACTTTCACGAGACGGTTAGATTCTCTTTATCGTCGTGTATAATACAAAACTTTATTTTATAGTAGAAGCCATACAATTCATTGTAAAGCTACTGACAATTCTGAATTTAATTTAGAGACGTCAAAAATAGCAAGCTTAGGTTCTACCGTCGCGATAGTTGCCATAGAAACAGTCTGAAGGTCATTTTATATCGTGCATTTGAAATAAGATGGACAGATGTCATTAGAATGCACAGTCATTTGTTTCACTTTACCCTTACCGTTAAAGTGATCACTTTATCTATCCTTACGCTTAAAGAACGGCTTAGCCTACTCATTCAAACCTATTAAAATGTCAATGTAACATAATGCTATAAAATAAAAGATTGGAGTATAATGAGAACAGCAGTTTACACTTTTGGATATACATCAAAAGTCTCTTCGTCATGTATTTTCGTCTCAGTTTTTGTCAGATAAAGCATCTTCCATCGATGGTTATGGTCGTTGCTTACGAAATAAAAATTTAAATGTATCTTCATAAGAATTTATATCGTTTCCTACTTTTAGCTATTTTCAAAAGCACCCTGGGATATTATAGGCAGGTATGACGCTGCCGCACCTACTAAAGTGGCGCCCGGGGCGGACCGCCCCCCCCCCCTACTCTACGCCACTGGTTCCCGCTGTTCCACTGGCTGCCATTTTTTTGACAAACACATTAGGTTTATTTGCCACAAACTCTCTGAACATTACATAGTAAATAACACCTTATATTTTCATATTGGATACTGAAACATAATTCAACGATCAAGGGAACTTATCTGAAGTTTGCTCTTGATTATTATGAGGTATCCAGTTACAAGAGATAAAGACCCTCTCACCACACTAAGTGGCAAATAAATCTTTCTCTAAACGAATGAACTTACAAGCGATGATTGAACAGGGAGACAAAATGGACTGATTATTATTATTATTCGTGATTTTGCTAAAAAAAAGCTTAATACGTCAAAACAAATAATTATAGATGCACATTATGAATGCAATAAAGTAAAATGTGTCTCGTGCGCACTATAGTAGGCAATCTTTAAAAGTTTTCTTTTAATAACAACCGAAAATAATTTATAATTTAGTTTTTGCACGTGACTGGGAATGTGACTTGTGACAACAGCATCGGGTGTGTATGCAATAAATAATATCTTATATCTTCGGACTAGACACCTCATATAATCACAATCTAACACAATTGATTGTTGAATTTTATTACATACTTCTTTCCCCTCCCCAAGACAACATTGTTTTAATGTTTCTGCAACAGTGTCCTCAAACTTTCTGCAAGTACGATGAGTGGGAATGGTACTAATGTCAGATTTTAATTTAATTCCTTTACTTTTAATAACAAAACGAGATATTTACAACGTGCAAATAAATAAATGAGAAATATTGAAAATAAATAAAAAGTAGTTTAGTAAGGTGTAAAATGAACAAATAACACGTTTTCTGGAAGTTGTCATGTTCGCAGATGCACAGAAAAAGCATTACGAACTGCAGTGTCTGTAGCCACTGACCGGCAGCGCGGCACAGGATTGACTGACGATGACGTCTGACCTTGAGAGCTTAACTCGTTTATTTTATGTGTGACAAAAAGAAGTGTAAACTTTGCCATGCTGAGATACAAGGAACATTCTTTAGTAACAAGGTTAAGTTGGTAGAAATTGGTGTGGCAACCCTGCATCGATCAAAATTCTTCTTTTAGTCAGTGTAACTATAATTTCAGCATGAAATTCGATCTTGTAAGCTTGATCGTAACAATGAGGAGTACATTTTTATAACATGAGAAATAAAGTATAACATACTTGTACTCAAATGTGTAACATTAAGTTTATAATATAAGTACAATTTTCAGCATTTATCATTTCAGTGTCGATATTGGGACTTTTATTAAATACAATTCAATTTGTTTATATAGCAAACAAAAAGCTTCTAGAGAATTCTAGTCAGCATATTATACTTCCTGGAAAGAACAGGTCACATCCGCTTTCATTCCTTATCACTGGTGACTAATCCTTTATCCACTTGATGGCGCCTTGATATCGCTCTAGAAAATTCGCTACAATGAAATAAAATAAAACACATGTAGTTTATTTTATTAGCCAACTAAAATATTGCTTTCTGAATTACATTTGAGTTGTAAAATTTGCAAAAATCTAAATTCTGTTTTATTCAGAGCTGCCACACTAATTTCTACCAACTCATCCTTAATACTAAACAAACATAAAATAATAATAAATAACATTGTCCCTAAGTTGACTTATCAAAAAATGTAGATGAAAGGCAACATTTCACAAGATGCGAAATAGCAAAATGTACATATAACAATTTATCATCCAATATCGTTTTTGCATTATCAAGCTAGCAATGATGTGGAATGCAACTGATACACCCTGTATAATAAGAATAATGACTAATTACTTGATCATTTTCTGTTTAACAGTACCTAAAGAACTGCCAACCATTCCTACTATACCAGTAATTAGCAGTGTACAGTCACTGGCCACTACAAATGGCCCAAGTACCTCACCACCCACCGGACACCGCACAAAGAACAACACTACCACAACTCGACCTCCAAGTCCTATAATAAAGACAAAAATTCTGCGCCAGGTGATTATTAAACCCACTCCGATTCCACCACATAGAAATGTAGGCACTTTGTGCAAAATAAACACAAAATCAAAGGAAGTTACTGCAAAGCCAACTACTTGCGATGCAGAAGTACAAACAGGTAAGTTACATTGAGAGTCTTATTCTATATCAAATTTTCATTATTGTAGACGAAATTAAGGAAAAAACTAGCATTATTCCTATACCGGTACCAATTTACGTTCCCGCTCCAATGTGGATGTATTCGATGCCTCTACCCGTACCATTTCCTTTCCCTTTGCCAGTACCAGTGCCCATATTTATTCCCACAACTCGTAATTCGGCTATGGGAATTATGAAAGAAATTAAGGTAAGCAATTAAGATGGCTGTGGTGCTGACAATATATACATGACTTTTTAGAAAATCCAAGTCAAAATTCCCACAGATCCATTTGAAGCAGAACTTTTAATGATGGCCGAAATGGTGGCAGGGGATAAAAAAGAAGAACATACAGAGTCTGAAAGTGAAGAAGAGGATACAGCACCACGTAAGTGTTTGTACTTATCTGGTCATTGGCTGATGTATTTAACCTTTTAGCACCACCTGAAGAACCGACATACAGTCCTGAACCTGTGGATCCTAATAATTCGTTTGGGGATGATATGCTGCAAATGGCTTTGAAAATGGCAACAGAGTTGGACGAACCGGCTGTAGACTTAGAGGGAGCGCTGACTGTCAACACAATTACGGCATCTCAAGAAGAGGCTGCACCAGGTATGACCCCTGAATCGTGTAGTGTAATTTTATTAATAAATAAAGTTAGCACCAGTGCCAGCTCCCGAGCAGTCGCCACCCATACCGATGACAGAACGTCAATCAACTCGTGGTCGTAAACGTATGGGACGCCCACCGAAGGCTGCCCCAATTACGAGTAAACGAGGTAGACGAACATCAACGCAGGTGGATATTCCCACAATAACACCTCCACCACCGACTCCTCCTCAAGAACCAGTGGAAAAACCAGATGCAAATATGTGTCTTAAGGTAGCCAGTAGTGCAGATTGATTTTTGTGTAATCTTTTTGACTCGGCAGTATACATTTGGAGTAAATGCCTGGAAACAATGGGTCACCACAAAAAATGCCGAATTGGAGAAGACTTCACGACGTGTGAAATTGTTTAAACCCGAAATCTTACAGTTAACTGCTGATGAACTGAATTATTCGTTGTGCTTATTTGTGAAGGAAGTACGAAAGCCTAATGGACAAGAGTATGCTCCTGACACGATTTATTATCTATGTCTAGGTGAGAATTACACCCATTATATACTGCATAGTCTAAAGAATAAGATAGTGAGACAATACTTTGGGGTATATATTGAAATGTAAAGCACAGTCCACTCACTTCGGGGGGGGGGCGAACCTCGCTTCGATCATATACGTGCTAGCCCATATTGAAAGTGGGGTATTTTACATTTTCTAACATCACAAATATTGGTCGATCCAATCGACCATTTTTTTTGAAATTATAAGAGAAGCTTCATTTCTTTGGGAATATCCCGTAAATAAAGTGATTTTTATTGGAAATTTTGATACATATTGTCGTCTCCAGTTTTGTAGGTGAATATGGTCGATGCGTCATGATTGATTATTCGTTTCAAGTTTCTCCAATTACTAAAAAGTTGTCACCACTTTGCGTCTTTGTTTGCACATTTTCTATGGGAAAATCGCACCTCAAGAACGAATTCACAAGGGTAAAAAATTCACACAGTTGGGACTTAGAGCTGTGAACCTGAATGTGAAGACGCATTTTCGTCGCTATCCTTTCTGATGGCGCCGAATTCTTTTCACCTGTTAAATGCACGGAGCACTCAAATATACCATATCAGCCACCGCTAATCTCTAACCTCAATTAACAGGCTCGTAGCTTGAGCTTGGGGGGAATAAGGGCGGTTGGGCATTTCCTTGAGTTAATTATAATATTGTGTACAATGGCGTGCCCTCAGTACGCCACCTACAAAACATCTGTCCAGCTAGCTCAAAACAAATCAATATAGACTTAAAATTTCTCAATCTAAGAAACTTGGTAGCTTCGATCAACTTCCGACTATTCCAAAGAATTCATTACACAAATTTTGATAAACACTTTCAATAGATTTTGAGCACCAATAGAAAAAAATGGCAGCCGATCAGTGTATTACACGGCTAGTATTTTGTCTACAACTGTATTCACACAATCAACTCGCTGGGAGACGTGACCTAAAATTTCCACGGCCTTCTCTCACTCAAAATTTTGTTGCTCACACCCCTATTAAATAAATTTATAGCTAAAAGAGCATTTCCCATTTTCAAATCGCTTCCAAAAGCTTTTCAGTTCTCGAGATCATTTAAGGAATCATCTGTTTCAAATTTCAACCAAATTGGTCGGGTATTCTGGCCCGAACCATGTGTACAAGTATCATTCCGCATGCACATATACACGTATGTGCATACAGACATTTTCTTAAACGCTTTTTAGCGCATTTCCACAAAAATAAAAAAAAAATGCGCTATTGTGGCCACTTTGTCCGTCCGTCCGTCCGTCTGTCCGTCCGTCCGTCCGCTAACTTTGCGACGCTACTAGTTTTTTATCTTAAGAGCTATTGTTCTACTTTTTTCGCTATTTGTTATTTCGTTATGGTGTCGAGTCTTGTACCAAGGAAGGAATTTTTTCTGTACCGCTTACAAAAAAAGTTATTGTAAAAAAAACAAAAAACCGTTTTTACATGTTCCATAATTTTACACTTTTGCCGTTTATTAACGATCCTAGAGATCGTTTATAATTTTGCATTGCTATCTGTCGCCTGCCGGTTGGTCTCTCCGTCTGTTCCTTTGTCTGTCTGTCCATCTATCTGTCCGTGTGAACGATAACTTTGTTTAGAAATGTTCGATCGCTTTTACATCTCCGTTAGTTATGAACTGAATTGCATGAAATTCAATATGGGCATAGATTTAGCCATATAATACGCAATGCCAAAAGTTGAATCGAATTCACAGTGCCCTTTTCGCATCTCGACCATTTATAAACCGAATTGCAAACTTTTTTACTTATAAAAGTATTTGAATGAAATTTGATACATAGGCACTTGGAATAAAGGAAAATCAAACGCCAATTTCAAAATTTGGTTTTGCGCATGCGCAGTGCCAACTTTTTTATTTATGGAAGAATTTAAACGAAATTTGATACATAGGCACTTGGGATAAAGGAAAATCAAAAGCCAATTTCAAAATTTGGTTTTGCGCATGCGCAGTGCCAACTTTTTTATTTATGGAAGAATTTAAACGAAATTTGATACATAGGCACTGGGGATAAAGGAAAATCAAACGCCAATTTCAAAATTTGGTTTTGCGCATGCGCAGTGCCAACTTTTTTATTTATGGAAGAATTTTAACGAAATTTGATACATAGGCACTTGGGATAAAGGAAAATCAAACGCCAATTTCAAAATTTGGTTTTGCGCATGCGCAGTGCCAACTTTTTTATTTATGGAAGAATTAAACGAAATTTGATACATAGGCACTTGGGATAAAGGAAAATCAAACGCCAATTTCAAAATTTGGTTTTGCGCATGCGCAGTGCCAACTTTTTTATTTATGGAAGAATTTAAACGAATTTTGATACATAGGCACTTGGGATAAAGGAAAATCAAACGCCAATTTCAAAATTTGGTTTTGCGCATGCGCAGTGCCAACTTTTTTATTTATTGAAGAATTTAAACGAAATTTGATACATAGGCACTTGGGATAAAGGAAAATCAAACGCCAATTTCAAAATTTGGTTTTGCGCATGCGCCGTGCCAACTTTTTTATCTATGGAACTATTTAAGTGAAATTTGATACTTAGGCGCTTGGAACAAAGGAAAATCTTAGTTTATTAGTTAGTTATAGTAAATTTGTTTTAAAATTTAGGTTTACGCATGCGCAGTTCCAACTTTCTTATTTAGAAAAGCATTGAAATGAAATTCTTCTCATAAACTGAAATTGAAGTAGCACGTCAACAATGGATTGCCCATGTGCAACGCTATTTTTCATATTTGTGGCCGGATTTTTACGATTTTAACAGAAGTTGCATCTTACAAATGGGAAATGAATGCAAGTAGAAATGCGCTTTATGTAAATCGTTTACGATTACTTTTTAACTTGTTTTTACTCCTGAGGCCTTGAAACGTGAGAATGCGGTGGAATCTCAAAATCGAAATTTGAAGTGATTTCAATAACCTCCCAATTTTTTATTGCCGAGTTTAAAATCTGACATGAAAACTCTGGGCCGCGCAATGGATTCGAATAAACACAATTAATTGATTAACAATGACAAAAATTTATTCTAGAACACAAAAACAAATTAAAATAAAATCCCTGAAAGAAACAAAAGCTTAGAAAGCTTGTTTGGACATATAACCCCGCACTCAGGTGGTCGACAAAAATAAGAAATCTTAAAATTTTTTTTAAAAATAATCTACAGGATCTTGTGGTACAAGCTTTGCGAAACTAGGCGCACGAAACTCACACAAACGTTGACACCTTCTGAGGGTGGGTTTATACAATCATTAATATTATTATTTATTTGTTTCCTCAAAATTTCCATAAAATTACAACCAAGAAAAAAGTACTTTATTATTATAATACAATCGTAATATAAGTATTATTTTACTTATAAGTAAATTTAAACAAAAACTGTAATGGAAAAGTTGTGGTGAAGTAACATGAGTTGAGACACTATCATTTGGTGGACGCCTAGTCCCGAGCACCCCCTTAGTAAAAGTAAAAGAAAAAATAACAAATATGAGTAAGGAAAAAAGTAAATTTACGAGAACAAAAACTCAATATCTGCGAAAATAACCATGATTTTAGGTTTTTTTAAAATTCACCAAGACTTTAAGATGAATTTACATTTAATGGTAATTGATTAAAATTAGATCACTAAGAAATGCTAGTGAACTAATGCTAATGATTGTATAAATCCATCACGAAATTCACTTTACGTTATATCATAAAATTGGTGACAAACAAAACTGGTTTGATGTATAAGATAAACAAATTTCCGGTGGCTGTGTCGACGGTAGAAACTTTTACTTTTAATAAAAACAACAAAAGGCCTCGCTGTACTACACTGCTTGCTTTTTCAACTCGACAAACTTTTTCCGTCAAAGGACAATGCGTTAAACTTCTCGCACAACCTTAGGGAATTTGCTGCTGCGCAAATTTATTTTTAAAAAATGACTGACTGTCATTTAACAACGATAAAACACGTGCGTTAATAAATTTTTGCTTGACCAGATGTGTCTTACTTCTAAATTAAATTCTAAATTGAATAAATTACAAAAGCGATTATTTAAACAAATTGCGCATTTATAACATTTTTAAAATGAAACAAACGTGCTTATTTCATAAATAGTCCCCCCGATTAACTGAAACATGCTCATATACAGGGTGTCCCATCATTATTTTTGGTGTTGAAACTGAAATAACGTCTACATGACATTGTTTACACAACAATAAATCCTCGCGTTGTAAGTCACTCACTTTCAGAATTGCAAAGGTTGAAACGTACACCCTCCTTCCTGGGGGAGACCCGGTGACCTTTTGTCGTTGTGGGATCGATTGTCCACCCAACCGCGCACTCTTCACAAAAATGTTGCTTCCCCGCGCTCGAAACGTACGCCCTCTGTGAATGGCGAACTTAACGAACGAACAACAACCCAAACAGGCTCCTTCCCATTCCCAGTGGTGGCGTTAAAAAAGGACCTCGCATGCTCACCTTACATCTTCCCTCTTGGGTCCGAAAAAGTTTGAGAGGTGCGCACCCCTAAGAGTTACTTCTAGCCCAAAATGAGTTGTTTTTTTTTGCGGTTTTAACGCCCTTCACCCGCGGCGACGTCTTCGTAAATATAATATAAGTATTACACAGAAATATTTAGGTATAATATTAGGTAATAAATTAACATGGAAGAGTCATATTAACTACCTAAAATCTAGACTATATTCAATAGCAAGGAAAATTTATATATTAAAAGCATCACTTACCTGTCATGCGTTAAAAACAATTTACCATGCTTATATGCATTCCCATATTAGTTACGGTGTATGTTGTTGGGGAACGGCTGCCCATAGTATCCTTTCTCCTATAGAAAAACTACAAAAAATGGCGATACGATCAATATGTCAAAAAAGTAGAATGACACCATCTCTTCCACTTTTTATACACCAAGCATGACCAAGCAATATAAAAAATTGCCAAAAATAAATAAAACCCTCTTTCAACGATCGCCGTTATATCTTGGACCAAAATTATATAACGTTTGACCGAGTAATTTAAAAAATGTAAGCTTAACAAAAAATCTATTCCAAAATATTCAAAAATGGATGATGACTCAAACGACACTTCTGGACAGTATATTAATTATTCTTGCATAAGTCACGTTTGCTGAAAATAGAACAAAAAACGTAATGATGAAAAAAAACAAACTAAAGCTACACTTTAACTCAGGGCTGTATGCTTAGTGCATAGTTCCCTATTAAATTTCTTTTTGATGTTAAAAAATTCACTTTCTTTCTTCTCTTTTCTCCTCTTGTTTTTTCCTGTAGATATCTTAAAAAGAAATTTTTTTTGTTGTAGTGAATGCTCATGTATATCATTTTGTATGGAAATAAAGTCTATTATTATTATAAATATTACCGTTTGGGCTCCGTCAAGCGTTTTACACCCAAAAACAATAAAGAGGTGTATCCGCGGGGAATCGCTTGAATGATTTCCTTCGTTTTTGCATATTTTCAACTCTCAATACCATTATAAAGCGTGCTTCAAATAAAACCGACAGTATTATTAACTTTTTTCTTATTGGACTTATGGTATTGGTAAATTACCAGCGATCGAAAATATCATGATATTTATATAAATATCATATCACATAATATATAAGGCTTTGAGAGTCAGCATGGTCTAAGTCCCAAAACTTTGTTTTTAGATAAATTAACCTAAAGTTGCACGTCAATTAAAAAATCCTGAACATAAATGTAAACGCTTTTTTGTGATAATTTTATTTGTGAAGGTCTAACTAAAATATATAGATTGGAAGGTAGTTTGATTTTTAAAATTTTGTTACCTTTTTGACCTTTTTGTGACTTAGACCACTATGACTTTCAATACTTTTTAATATATGTTTTGGTATACCACAATAATAGATTTTTTGCTCTGTAATAATAAGAACAAAGAGTTATTATACCTTAAAAAAACGTTGAGACACAATAAAATTTAAAACGTTTTTAAAAATTTATTACCAAAAGAAGAAATAAAACATAATTTATATGAAAAATAAAAACACAAGTATATTCCAAAACAATGGGGAAACTAACTGTCATCATCTTCTTCTTCCAATTCTTTAAGGGGTCCAGGATCTTCAACGTCACAATTTCCAATTACATCCTTGAAGTAATTTTGATGAATCGGAGGAATAAATTGAAAAAGTTCTTCCATATTTTTCTTCTTTTTATCATTAATTTCAAGTGGACCCTGATACAGAGACGAAAGCTCGATGGCCTTGAACATTTTAGGAGCACCTCTTCGGTTTGGCAGTAAACTAATAGCATTAAAAGGATAGTCTTCATTGAGCGTTTCTTTATAAAAAATTTTGTACGGCTCAGATTTCTTGAAGTGCAACCATTGAATTTGTAACCACGCATACTTACCTGAATCTGATGGCTGATGAGTAATCCTCTGGTTCGACTCACTTTCATTAGAAGAAAATGGCTCACTTTCAGTATCACTACAACTCATTTTTAATGTCGACAAAACACATTCCACCATTACAAGAAAAATGCACTAATAATATATCTGCAATTCCATTTAATGGCAAAGTGGTATAAGTCACATTTGTACCACTTTGCCTTTGAACGATTTGAATAAAACATTATTATGCAGATCTCACTAGCGCAATCTACAGGTCTAATTTAAAAGTGAGAATTTTTAAATTTTGTCACATGGTACTTTTCCCCAATAACATATAGAGGTCGCTGTTATCTCAAAACTGCAAATTTGGGACTTGTACCACTTTCTTTCAACGCCTCATATATCGGATATATATCAAATGATGCTTTGGTTTTGGCATATTAATTAAATAAAAATTACTATTCTTATTCACACAACACAACAGTCAACAGTCAGGGAAAGACTGAAAAAGCAAATAAAACATTAAACAAATCGTTGCGCCGGTGATTCACCTGATCGGCAATAAGGCGAAGCTCGCGCGGCAGCCGAACGGATCGATACTATACAGTTTATATATGATATATATCAAGTGATATATATCGCGATATATATCATGATATATATCAGTTGATATATATCCTCCGAACCCTGTAAATTACCAAGTATGAAATATTTTTATCAGGATTAGAATCATCAAGCAAAAAAAACAGATGACCACTGTGGTATCAAGATATGTATCAACATAACATTTTTTAAATGAAACACCTTATGCACTGTGTCATTCAAGAGAGTATGTACTTTTTTTTATAAGCCATATAAAAAAATAAATAATAAAAAACTGTCAATTTTTGACGTTCTTCCATATTATGCCTAAACTCAAGGATGCTATTGCTAAACTTACATCTTACACACTGCGGGTGCTATCTGTGCGAGCCACAGCAAATTTTTTATAAAATCTTTGCAACACTTATGACTTTTGGGAGGTAACTATGTATAATCCGATTTGGTTGCAAATGTCAAAATGCACGTGAGGTCTATTGTCTTTTGTTGGAATACATATATACAAGTTTAATGTTGGGATTGTGATTTCAATGGAAATCCTATTTTTATTACTGCGCTTATTTAAGTACAAAAAATAAGGGTAACTTTGTATAAGCGGTCTATTCAATTCCGTTTTCCAAATATTGGCTAGGTGCTTTTATTATTGTATTTCTATTAGTAGGGGAGCTAGCACGAAATCCACTGAACGAGAATGATCAAAATTTTAACCGATATAGTTCCATTTGGCCCTATTAGAGTATGCTAAAATCGATCGTCTGCCGCCTCAGATCATATGACTTAAGGCGCTGCGCGTACTTCTTGCGGTACCAATTCTGAAAGGTTGTCTTTCGAAAAAATAAGTTATACACCTAATGAAAACGTTGATAATAGCTCTTAAAAAAATATTTAAAAAAATCGCGCACATTTGATAACTCCGTAAAAAAACAATTCTTAGTCGGTTTTTCACGAACTTTCTACGGATATAACTAGGTTACCGTCGGATAAATGAAGCTGATTTTTTTTACAGACTAATGATGGACACAGCCAATGACTATGAGAGTGTTTCTTTTTTAAATTTTTTCTCTAATTATAAGATACCTTATAATGTTAAGATGATAAGATAATCTTATAATTAGAGAAAAAATTTAAAAACGAAACACCGTTAAGTCATTAGTAGTACCTATCATCAGTCTGTATAAAAAATCAGCTTCATTCGTTTAACCGTAACCTAGTTATATCCGTAGAAAGTTCGTGAAAAACCGACTAAGAATTGTTTTTTTACGGAGTTATCAAATGTGCGCAATTTTTTTAAATATTTTTTAAGAGCTATTATCAACGTTTTCATTTGGTGTATAACTTATTTTCTCGAAAAACAACCTTTCAGAGTTGGTACCGCAAGAAGTACCCGCAACGCCTTAAGTCATATGACCTGAGGCGGCAGACGATCGATTTTAGCATACTCTAATAGGGCCAAATGGAACTACATCGGTTAAAATTTTGATCATTCTCGTTCAGTGGATTTCGTGCTAGCTCCCCTACTATATTAAGCACAGATTTAATTGGTAAGAAAAATGACATTTCTTTAGTGCTTAGCAATTAAATAATAACAGTTTTCATACAGAAAGAATCAGCAATTATGATTGGGACTGCAAACGTGATTTTTGACATAAAAAGTAAAATTTGATGATTCGTAATAATTTAGGTGATTTTGACAACACCTAAATTATTACGAATCATTAAACGTCTATAGAATTTGATGTAGAATCTAAATAGTATCATACTTTTTCTACAATATCTATAAATTTCGAAATGAAAATAATGCAAAAGCCAAAACTTTGCCATTTGTAAGTAATTATCACTTCTAAATGTACAGGATCTATTCTACTTTTTTCATTATGCACGAGTGTAGGTAATGGGTACTATATCATGCCCCAAAATTATACCTTATGACCTCATCTTCAGGGAGGTTGTAGAAAAAAAGAATAAATATATAAGATGTTTTATAAAATAAGCAAGTCAGCATAAAAGTGTCATCAACTTGAAAATATTGTAGGTAAGTTTGTCTTACTGGCATCAGTATACGTACTGTCAAATTTTCGAAATATTCTGATGTCTTCTTCTTTGACATATAACATATAGATAGCTGGCATTTGTCATCCAAGGATTTACAGAGAGCATAGTTACAAGTTTTATTACATTGATCACTTTTACAATCAACAATAGCTATGACCTATTTCAAATTATGCAAACTATGGAATCTCTCTGAGTGAATCACTTTCTTTTGTTACCTGGAAGTTGGTCTCACTATCTTACTGTCTATTTGACAACGTTCCACACAGAGCTAACTGTAATTTCTAAAAATTGTGTGGTAAATGAAAAGTAATTGTTGTGACGTAAAACACGAGTAAACCATTAAAATTTCCCATGATATAATGCAGTGTAAGAGTTTTCAAATTGACAGGCCATGCTTTTTTATGTCGCTGTGATTAAAAATTGTGTAAATTTGTAGGAATTCAACAGTATTTGTTCGAAAATGCCAGAATCGATAACATTTTTTGTGATTCTTATTACGAAAAGTTCACCGACTGCCTGGATGAAGTGGCCAAGAAATTTTCAGTTTTGTACAATGATTCTCGTAAGTTTTGCTTCCAATATTCTGAAATTTATTAACAAACCTCCAGATTACATCGTCACCCGAGTGGAAGAGGAGCATTTGTGGGAGAGCAAACAGTTAGGTGCTCATTCGCCACATGTTTTATTGAGCACGCTTATGTTTTTTAATACTAAACATTTTAATTTAACGGTGAGTTTTTCAGTGTTTTTAAAAGTTTTCTATGACAGAAATTCTTGTAGACCGTCGATGAACATATGCAGCTTTCATTTTCTCATATAATGAAGCACTGGAAACGTAATCCCAATCAACCCGGTGCAGCCAAAACGCCAGGATCTCGCAATGTTTTGTTACGTTTTTACCCACCACAAGTATCAACAACAGGTTACTAACAAGTGTTACTTTCAACATTAAATTAATTTCAATTTTGTAGATACTCCACCTAGAAAGAAAAAAGTTTATGAACAACAAGAAAATGAAGACAACCCTCTACGTTGCCCAGTAAAACTGTACGAATTTTACTTGTCCAAATGGTTAGTATACAAATGTAGTGGTATTTTTACTTACCTCTCTCTTATAGCCCCGAAAGTGTAAAAACACGTAACGACGTTTTTTACTTACTTCCTGAAAGATCTTGTGTCCCTGATAGCCCAGTTTGGTACTCCACCATGCCACTACCAAGGGCAGCTCTTGAAAAAATGCTGCATCGTATTAAAATGGTCAAGGAAATTAATGTAGCACTTTTAACGAGTTAAATATGTAATATTTCGAAGCGTGTTATTTTTGTATTTTTTTTCCATCATTACAGACGTACGTACAATAAAAGTGTAGTTACATGATTTGTGTTTTATTGAACTAGATTAGATTTAATGAGTTTCCTATATGGATGTGCTAAACCCTCCAACCCTGGTGACAGGACATACAAGTCACGCCAGGGCCCTGATATGCATGCATTGCCCCCCAATGGCTGATACATTAATATAATTATGGGGTGGTGACAAGACGGGATAATCGGGAAAAGTTGGAATTGTTAGATTTAATTGCGCGTTAATTAATTTTATTCGTAGTTTAATTAATTAATCTGCGAATTACATAAATCGATCCATGAATGAAATAAAATTATCTGTTGAGGGAAGGTTCGGAGAATAAGGGAAAAGTTCGGAGAGTGTTCGGGAAAAATTAGGGATGAATTCGGAGAAAGGTTGTGGAGAATTCAAGAAAAGTTTCGTGAGAGTTAGGGAAAAGTTCGGGGAGAATTTGGGAAAAGTTCAGGTAGGGTCCGTGGAAAGGTAGGGAAAAGTTCTTGGAGAGTTCGGGGAGCTTTCGGGAAAAGTTCGGTGAGAGCTCGGGGAAAGTTTGGAAAGGTCATGATGAGATCCGGAAATGTTCGGAGACAATTCGGTAAAATTTCAGGGAGAGTTGAGGAAGGGTCCGTCCGTTAACACTGAACGGCCGGAATTCTTTTTTTCGTATTTTTTGTGACTATGACTGGACTAACACCTTCGGTGGTGAAAATACCAATCCGAACCGAATGTTCTCCAATTTTTTATTGACCATTAGGGCAGCGTTTGAAAAATGTTTTCCTCTAAAGAAAATCAAAACCAAGGATCGTGACATGCATTGGTTTAATTTCCATCTTAAAAAACTTAGAGCTCACCTGCAATTAGTTGGTGAGCTGCATGACAAATATGGATTTCCTGAACTGTTGGAAACAAAAAAATCTATTTACAATAAGTATCAAATAGAAATTAAACGAGCTAAAATTGAAGCTTGTGATCAGTACATTAGTAACTCATCAAATTGCATAAAAGCAATGTGGCGTGTTATAAACTTACAACGAAAATCTGAAGCGACGATAAATTGTCAAAATATATCCGCTGAAGATTTTAACACCTATTTTACCTCCTTCTCAAGTACCTTCTCGGACATCCATTGTCAACCTCAGGAGACTGTGGAACCTAACTTTATCCCCACATCGATTGAGGTGTTTAAATTTAGAATGGTTTCCCCCATTGTTGTTCGTGATACACTTTACAATTTAAAAACTAGTAACGCCAAGGACGTTCATGGATTAAATACTAAATTAATAAAAGGCAACATCAGTTTCTTAGTTAAACCTCTGACCACTATAATAAATAGTATTATCGAAACTGGAGTTTTTCCTAATGATATGAAAACGGCGTTGGTTATACCGCTTCATAAAAAAGGCGACATAGAAAACATAAGTAATTACAGGCCCATTTCAATTCTACCAGTTTTCTCAAAGGTCGTTGAAAAAATTTTGTATGGACAGATAATAACCTTCTTAGAAACAAACCTGTTATTGTACCCTAACCAATTTGGATTCCGGAAAGGTAAATCCACTTCCAATGCAATTATCAAATTTGTTAATGACACTCTAGAAAACTTTGAAATGGGTCTACACACGGTCTCTGCTTTCATTGATTTATCAAAAGCCTTTGACTGTGTGTCACACGACATCTTGGTTAAGAAACTAAAGCGTTTATATAATTTTAGCAACCTAAGTTGCGCATTAATCCAGTCATACTTAAAAGGCAGGAAGCAATGTGTGTTATACAACTCTAGAATGTCGGAAGCAATACCTGTTACACTTGGCGTACCCCAAGGGTCAACACTTGGTCCTTTATTATTTCTAATGTATATAAACGACATGCCATCTGTTTTATCACCATCTACTCGTTGCATATTGTACGCGGATGATGTTACGCTCACTTGCAGCAGTAAGGAGTCGAATATAGCCTATGCTAATATCGAATTGGATATTAAAGCTCTCGAACGCTGGTGTGCAATTCATAACTTGAAGTTGAATTCTGATAAAACGTCAATTATCTGTTACTCATTACGTACGCAGAATGCAATCAACGTTTCCGATCGCACTAGTGGCTCTTTTCTGGGGTGTGTAATTGATCAGCGTCTCAATTTTAATACGCATTGTGAAAATTTATGCAGACAAGTCAGCAAATCATTATATTTATTAAGAAGATTAAAGGACATGTCATCTTTTGCAGTACGAAAAAATGCCTACTTTGCTTTGGTACACAGCAAACTCACTTACGCTATTTTAGCCTGGGGACATTGTGCGTCATGGAAATCCGTTTTCAGGCTCCAACGTAAATGCATAAGAACCTTGACTAGTTTAGGACATCGGGACGATTACTGTAACAAATTTGTAGAACTGAATATTCTAACATTACCCTGTGTATATATTTTGGAATCAGTTCTTTATGCAAAGGCTAACATGTCAATGTACAATTTTCATTCCGAAGTACATTCCTATAATACTCGCCAGAAGGACAATATTAAAAAAAAACTACTGTCGCTTAACTACCTCACAAAATGGGGCAATTTATCAGGCCCAAACACTTTTCAACAGTATCCCGTTCTGTATTAGGCACTTTAAGTCTAAAATGGTTTAAAAAGAAAGTTAAAACATTCTTATTGGCAAATGAGAATTGGAATTTGGAAGTTTAAGACGTGTTGTTTGTTTTATAATTATATCGTTTGTAATTTATATTTTATACCAACTATTATTGTGTTATGTTAGACTTTTTGTTATGCTTTATATATTATTAGATAATTAATGACAACTGTAAATGCCTGTATATGCAAACTACAGGAAACTATTAAACTATTAAACTATTAAACTATTAAGGGTCGGGAAAAGTTCCGGGAGAGTTCAGGGAAAGTGGCGTAGCGAAAGGAGGGCGATCCGCCCCGGGCGCGAATTTCCGAACCCCATCCTTATTCAGCGCACCGCTTCGCGGAATAGAGCCGAACACCTACAAACTCACAACCTTTACCATCTATGCCATAGTTTACGTTTCCCAACTCGTTGGAGCGCGGCTTGCTGAAAAGTCTTCATATAAGTTGTTCATCAAATATTAATTATTATGGGAAATCAGTATGTAAAATAAATATGAACAATTAATCAGTACGGATTAGTTATACCGTTGACGGTTATACCTACCTATAGAATTGAACAGGCAAATCTTTTTAAATGAAATTAATGTTCAGATATGTTTAATTGAAACTATTCTATTTCCAATGTACTCATTTGAGTCTTAATCACACAATATTTAAACTAAATTCTTGGATCTGCCCTCCCAATCAAGTACCAGACCCCAAACCAAGTTCAGCACCGCACTCTGAATTGAGTTGGAAAACGTGAAATAATGAGTTCGGCTCTATTCGGTAAAGCGGTGCGCTGAATAAGGATGGGGTTCGTAAATTCGCGCCCCGGGCGCTATTTGAGTAGGAGCGCCAGCGTCATATACCCCCCAATAAAGGTTTTGCCCTGTTATTGATGGTCTTATGCTGTTGAGTAAATATTATGTTATTATTACTAATACCGCGGGGCGCTTTTGAAAATAGCTAAAGTAGGAGACGATAAAAAAAATCGTTATACGTTTAAATTTTGCAAGTAACGACGATGACCCGATGACCATCGACGGACTTGAAGATGCTTTACGTGACAAAAACTGAGGCGAAAGTACATGACGAAGGGACTTCTGTGCTACATGGATCATATAGGTATCACGCAAAAGCTGATATAGACATAATGTCAAGAGGCGAATCCCCCCCACCCCCTAATCAATCACTCGCTCTAAAAAATATATATTATATAGGGCGGCAAACCCTAATCGCGCCTCGGGCGCAATCGTACTACGCTACGCCACTGCACTTACGTTTTCGCTACAGCGTTTGTTTTCGCGTTCGCTTTAGCTTTCGTTTTTGATGTCGCTATCGCTTTCACTTTACTTTTTTGGATTTCGCTTACCCTTTCGCTTTTGCTGTTGTTTTCGCCTTAGCTTTCGTTGTCGTTTTCGGTATTGCTTTCGCGTTCGCTTTTGCTAACCCTTTCGCGAAAGGGTTAGCGAAAGACAGCGCAGAAGCGAAAGCGAAATAGTATGCGAAACCAAAAGTGAAAGCTAAAACGAAAGGGAATGCAAAAGGGCAGGCGAACGCGAGAGAGGAAGTGAACGCAAAAGCGTAAGCGAAACCGAACGCGACAGTGGAAGAAAAAGCTCATACGTTAGTGAAAGCGAAAATCCACGCGTTAGTGAAAGCGAAAACCCACGCATCAGCAAAAACCCACGCGATAGCGCAAACTAACTCAATCGCGAAAAAGCAAGCGAAATCGATTGCAAAAACGACCGCGAAAGTGAAAGGGTTGGCAAACACGAACGCGAAACAGAAAACGACAGCGAAAGCAAAACTGAAAACGAACGCGAAAGCAAAAACAACAACGAAAGCGTTAGCAAAAGCGAAGGGTAAGCGAAGCTTTCGCTTTGTTTTTTGCTTTCGCTGTCGTTTTCGATTGCGCTTTAGCGTTCGCTTTCGCTAACCCTTCCGCTTGCTTTTTCGCTTTCGTGTTCGCTGTTGCGCTCGAGTTCGCTTTCGTTTTAGTTTTCGCTTCCACTTTCGTTGTCGTTATCGCTTTCACTTTCGCACTCGCTCTACTTTCGCTTTTCTTTTTCGCGTTTTTCGGTTTCGCATACTATTTCGCTTTCGTTATTGTTTTCACTTTAGCTGTCCCTTTCGCTATCGCTTTAGCTTTTGCGTGCTCTTTCGGTAACGCTTTCGCTTTCCCTGTCGTTTTCGCTTTCGCTTACCATATCACTTTCGCTTTCGGTGATGTTTTTGCTTTTTCTGTCATTTTTGCTGTCGTTTTCGGTTTCGCTTTTGACTTTAGCTCTCGCTGTCGTTTACGCTTTAGATTTCGCTTTCGTTTTCGCGTTCCCTTTCGCTTTCATTTTAACCATCACATTCGCTTTCGTGGGAAAAGTTCGGGGAGAGTTCGGGAAAGAATCGAGGAGAGTTCAGGAAAAGTGCGGGAATCGTCGGAGTAGAGTTCTGGAAAAGTTTCGGGAAGGTTCGGAGAGCTTGAGCAGAGTTCTGGAAGGTCGTGGAGAGTTGATGAAAAGTTCGGAGAGGGTTCGGTAAAAGTTCGGTGAAAATTCGGGGAGGGTTCAGGGCGAGTCCGGAAATCGTTCGGGAAAAGTTTGAAGAGAGCTCGAGGAGAGTTCGCAGCGAATTCGTGAAGTGTTCTGGCAAGGTTCGCGGCTCTCCCCGAACTCTTTCAGTGAAAGTTCGGAGAGAGTTCGGGAAACGTTCGGGGACAGTTCTAGAAAATTGCGAGACAGTTCGGGAAAAGATCAGGGATTGTTCCGGGAAAGTTCGAGAAAAGTATTAGATCAGAAAAAGTTACGGAAGAATTCAGGGAAAGTTCGGGAAGAGTTTGAGAAAAGTTCGTGAAGAATTCAAGAAAAGTTCGGGAAAGTTGGGGGAGTTACGGAAAAGTTCGAGAGAGTTTGGGAAAAGTTTGGGAAGAGTTAGGGGAAAGTTCGGGAAGAATTCAAGAAAAGTTCTGTAAAAGTTTGGGAGAGGTCGTAGAGTTAGCGAAAAGTTCGGAGAGGGTTCGGGGAGTTTGGAAAGCACGGGGAAAGTTGGGGGATAATCTCGGCGATAATTCGGCGAGAGTTCGGAGGGAGATTCTAATTCGAGGGCCATCATGAGGATCTCGGAAACTGTAAGAGATCGTTAGGTATAGTTTAAATTGGCCAAGTTGCGTATTTTGATGCTTAGCCAAAATGCAGTTTTGAAAATGAAAAAATTCCGATTACTTTCGGAGATCCTGAAAAAAACGAAATTCTGCAAAATCGTTTTTTTACCGAAGTAATTTTTTCATTGTCAAAACTGCATTTTGTTAAGCATCAAAATATACGCATTACCTACGCACCTTTGGCAAATTTAAACTACTTATACGTATCTCTTACACAGTTCCCGAGATCCCCATTGGCCATTGGTGACCCTCGAATTTGAATCAGCCTGTGTATAGCACGATTTAAACTCGGATTTAGTCATATAGGTAAAAACAATACCTCCGCCAGAACAGAATAGAGAATACTACACTCTCTTTACACTGTACAGCGGCGTCAAGCGTGAAATTGGAGTGGCATCAGAAAAAGTGGAATAACCTAATGAGCACAAAATTTTAAATTAGTAACACAAATTAGCACAAAATTATGAGATGTACTTTAACTTTTAATTCCTTTCAAGTCAGTCGGCACTACTTCATGGACCCAGTGGCCGGTTTAGGCAACTATATAGTTTTTAACTCAACACAAAAGGCAAAACCCCTTGAAATTTAATGAATTTAGGTAATCAATAAAGAGAGAATGTTAAAGAGATAAATTGTGCGCAACATCAAAGGCTTCGCGTTTAGCTGTGCCAATATGAACGTTTCAATTACTGCTGATAAAATATCAAAGAAAAATGACCGTAGTTTTAATAGTTTTCACTTTTTGATGTAAAAAAAGTTTGAATAGTTTTAATAAACGTTCAATAATTTACAAATGGCCTACAATGCAAAATCTATCTTGTTAGGTTTTGAGGATGAATATATAACGGATAAAAACAAAGCGGCTGTGAATTTTACTACAAACAAAATTGGTGGAAAGCCAGTAAGTTAAAATTGTCGATTAAGTGAGGTTAACTTGCCTCTGTCAATCTGTTTTTTAGGATTGGCCCTACAAAAATATCGACAACCCGACATGTAGCCTTTGTCAGCTATCCAGCCCACTTGTCCTGCAAATATATGCACCACTAGAAAATTCGCCATACAATCGTACCTTGTACTTATTTGCTTGCATTAATCCGAACTGCTGGAATCAGGGGGAAAGGTATCTATAGCCACATAGTAATCGGATTGAGAAATGAAAATATCTACCTTATGATGTTTCAGTTGGACATGCCTACGACTTCAAACATTGGAGCAGGAAACGGACAAGATTCCCATACCTACAGTAACACAAACTGTCGACACGAATGATTGGTGCCAAGGAGCAGATGATTGGGACGAGGATAACAATGCCATCGAAGAGAATGGAAATTTGATTGTAGGAGGGGAACGAATTTCCGATGAAGATGATGAAAGTTGTAGTATGGAGGAATCACTTCGCTCTGGGCTGGGAAATTTAATGGTCGACGATCGAAATGCCAATATGGGGAATTTCGTAGAGGCTCAAGGTAATTTTAACTTCAAACGTACAGTTTTGCCAATTAGCTCTCAACCTAAACCAAAAATAATACTCTGAAGAGGTGATGGCACAGTGTCAGCTAAAAAATTCACATTGGTATTCTAATAATGATCCCCCAATGTATTGAATAACCTTCGATACAGGGTTTTTTGTCCAATAGGCTAGGGCTTAAGACGGTCGGGCTGACTTCTCTGAGCATATATCGGGTAAGTATGTGGAGGTGGTAAAATTTCTGGTACCCACCATCATCGCTGCTAAACTGCAATGCACATATACAATGTGTATCGGATAGGATACAATTATATAAAATCTTTGTGTGTTAGGTACATACTCGTACTATTAAAAGGAAATTATCTTTTGCTGAAGATAGGTATTCTATTGAAATTTATTGGAAATGAAAACATCAATTATAATGCACATAACAGAAATATTAACATGCCTAGTGCATATATTAGAACATGTGTTCTCAAAACATTATTTTTTAGTTGTCATTGACAAACTTATACAGGGTGTCTTAAATTGAGTAGGATAATATGGCTATATTTGTTATTATTATACTTACAGATTTGGTTAAAAAGTTATGTAGTTTTTGATGTTGATGGATATTCCGATGCGATATTTTGAAAAAAAAATCATTGTGTAGATAATTGGAAAAAAATGAGAATAGCCATTTTTAAAACGTTCAAATCTTTTAGTTACGAAGAATGTTTCAAATAACAGTTGCAAGATACCATGGGATAAATTCAAAGCACATAGAAAAAAGTTTTTTAAATGGACGCCATATTGAATGTTTAATCAGTTTGACACCTTAGGTGCGCAAAAAAATTTATTCAAGGTTAAAGTTCGCAAAAATGGGTTTTTTGGATTTTTTAACGAACGAACAGTCTTTCTTACAGAACAAACTTCAAATATCCTAACAATATAATAAAGGTACAGAGAAGGTATCAGAAATAAAAATCAAACTTAACTTCTTTTTATACACAAAATGTAAAGAGATCGCGAGGATTCTGGAGCAGGAATATATAATTTCTTCCTTCATCACCGTCGACATATCTGGCACATTTGGATAGACAAAATAATTTCCAGTTTTATCAGAACACTTTTTCTTCAAAAAATTTATGGTTCAGCAGCTGCAAAATCTGCAAAATAATGCATTCTACAGCGTAGAAGAGTACTTAGACTGTGATTTTGATATGTGTGGTTGAGTTTTCTGTTTGTTTGTCTAGCATTTGTCTTTGTTTATATACATTAATCTTATTGTTAAATGTTTTTTATCTATACAAATACTTTTTTTCTCTTTTCGCGTATACCATTGTTACTATACAGTATTTGCAATTTGACGTGTGCAAACATATTTATACATTTGTACAACACAAATATACATCTATCTATCTATCTAATGCTAAGACGATTAGATTTTCCACTTTCTGTTTAAAAATTCGGACCATATCTGCAGTGCGCAACTCTCCCATGAAATAAGTAAAATTTTGTTGTCACGCCACTGGCACCGACAACTTCTGCAACACGAAAATGAAATTAGGAAAATATGTTAAAAACATAATAAGGAAACTTTTCAAAAAATAGATCTTCTACCACTAACCAAATATGACCATGTACACTAGTTATGAGAACAATATTTGAAAATAAAGAAAATCCAGCGTTATGTTTGAGTGTAAATAAAGATTTCTTATCAGAGTAGGTATTGATGTGAGCTATTTTGCATAAACTGAGCCACTAAATATGCAAAAAACACACTGAAACTTCTGCGTTTTGGAGTAATTGCACTGTTGCCCAACTTTTCCCTCACTGTCCGACAGCACCCCACTTGACGGTACTTACCAAGATTCAACCCTCCAAAAATTGACAACTTTTTACAAAAAAGTGAAATTTTAAGATTTAGTCAATTTCCGACCCCGATATCGAGGAAAGTAGCTAATCATTTTACGGGAAACGGAAAGGTGTTGCACCCAATTATCTTTAATTTAAGCAAAGAACGAAGTCTCTAAGCATATAATCTCACAAAAATCCAAAATGTGGGAACACTGAATTAATTGCAAATTTGCTCTGCTTATAGTTTTCGGTACAATAAGTTAAGAGTAGTTGTAAAGGAGAAACCACGTACATACATCCACCAGTAATTTATATTTAAACTGCCTATTCATATTTTATTTTACTAAAATGTTATTTATTTTAAAAAATTATTTATTTATGTTATTGTTATTTATCATGCATATTTAACTAAGGCATTACAAGGATATAATTGTTGAAGTAAGTACGTAGTAAGACGTATTTTGACACGTTTTTTATTGTTTCGAACGTAACTTAAAATCCATGGCAACTATTGTCTCAATAATCGTTGCCATGGATTTTAAGCTACGATTAAGCTAAGCTCCACTTAAATTTGTCGGTGCAAACGGCCATAAGTCCTCTACCTCCTTCCGAACGAGGAAGGTAAAGTCGTATAGTAGAGGAGTGAGGGTGATGTATGTGGTGTTTTGTTAATAATGTTCGAGTGTTTCTCTGTATTTATTCTAAATCTTTATTTGTCCAACGTGTAATCCCAAAAGAGTATGTAAGTACTGGTGTGGCATAAGTATACTGCGTACTCTTTGTAGGTATTGTGTGATAAGTGTTTGTTTTATACTCGTATGTTTAATATGTGTGTTTTGCTGAAAACCAAGATACTTATAAGTTTCATTCTCGTCCATGGAATTTATTAAATTACCTTGTTCGAGCTCATAATCTAAAAGTTGTCTTTTACCAGCTGCGATGTGTTGTGTTTTACATTATCGATTCCAAAGTCCATTTGTATGTCAAGTGAAAAGGTTTCGGTGATGTGTTTAATGCTTGTGGAAGAGTATAATTTAAAATCGTCCAAGTAAAACAGGTGTGTAATGTTGTGATGTATTTCCTGGTTATGTTTAATATTGTACTCAAAGTTCGAAGTGTTTAACAAATATGAAAGTGGATTAAGAGCAAGACGAAACCAGAGCCGACTTAAAGATCGCCTTGAAAAATGCCTCTTTTAATTTGTATTGGGTCAGTAATAAGTTTTGTGTCGTTTAGTGTAAGTGTTAACGTAGTGTTCCAACATGACATTATGTAATTGAGGAATTGTGTAATATTGTTGCTGACTTTGTATATTGAGAGTACCTACTTGTTGTAACCAAGAGTGTGGTACTGAATCGAATGCTTTTTTGTAATCAATGTAAGCAGTGTGTATGTTTCGTTTGTTATGTCGGGATTGTTCAAGTATTACAGAGTCTATAACGAGTTGCTCTTTACAGCCTCTGGAATACTTGGTACACCCTTTTTGTTCTTCGTATAGAATGTTGTTATCGGTACAGTGTTGGTATATTTTGTTTGTAATGCATGATGTAAGGATTTTGTATATTGTAGAAAGGCACGTAATTGGTCTATATTTAATAATAATAATAATAATACAACATATATTACAATCAGAGATTCACCTCTGAAGCAAACCACATTATCACGACCCATTAGTATTCAACCCAAACGCAAAAGCCTAACCAGCACTTTAGACTCACAACATGACACAACAACATACTGTAATATCTCCACCCTTAACTCAACCAACCACACAAACACAACTTCCTGAACAAACAAACGCAATAAATACAAGTAACGCAACATGCACTACAAAGACGCCCTCACCCAATAAAGTTACACGGCCTAGCACAGCTAAAAAACACAATACTCTTTCTTCTCAGAAACACACCACGTTATCACAACCCACTCGTACTCAACCCAAACGCAGCAACCTTAACAGCACTACAGGCTCACAAAATACTGTAATATCTCCACCAATAACCCAAGCAACAACACAAATACTGTTAGAATGTATAGATAGTAGTCGGCTGAGAGTAATTGTCAATTAATAAAAAATAGAAAGTTATCATTTGATTGAATTAGTTTGTATTCATCTTCCACATTAAAACAAGAAATACAACCTCAAGAACAAAAAAACACCATAAATACAAGTAACGCAACATGCACTACAAAGACAGGTCCACCCAATAAAGTTACACGTCCTAGCACAGTTAAAAAACACATCACTCCTTCTTCACAGAAACACACCACGTTATCACAACCCATTCGTTGACTTTTTCTTGAGCATTTTGCATTAATTTACTATAGATTATACTCCGAATCGTCTTAATTGGCACGCTAGCGTAGTGTCATCCGCGAAAAGTGTCCAGTGGGCGGCCATGTCACATGTCGGTAGGTCGTTGACGTACATCAAGAAAAGAATGGGGCCAAGCACAGAGCCTTGTGGGACTCCATAAATAGGCAAGATGTTGGATGTAACAGATTGGTGAACTACATATTGTTTACGGTTATTTAAATAAGAGCGTAGGAATTCTACAGCATCATCATTCATCACCAAAATTTAGGTATTCCAATTTCTTTGTAAGAATGAAGTGGGAGACACAGTCAAAGGCCTTACTCAAATCACAAAAAGTAACTCCAGTGAATAATCCTCCTTCAAATCCATTTAATATAAAATCGTATAAACTAAGAGATGCCCCAGCAGTAGAACAATTCCGTCTAAATCCAAACTGACTAGCAGTTAATAAGTGGTTTTCTTCCAAAAAGTCTACTATTTGGGCAGCTAAAGCTTTTTCAAAGATTTTTCCAAGCACAGGTATAATCGAAATTGGACGATAATTGTTTAAATTTGAAGTATCTCCTTTTTTGGGAACGGGTACCACTTTGGAAATTTTGAGACAAGATGGAAAGGTATTGCTTCGTATGCACTTATTATATAAGATGGTTAGTGGTATAACAATAAGATTAAGGATATATTTCACTATTTTATTGTTAATACCATAAGTGTCTTTGCTATGACTGGTTTTTAAACATTTTATGATGTCTCTAACTTGAGTATAGCTGACTTCCTTGAAACTAAAGTTCGCGAATTCCTTAGATGGCTTTTTCAGGTATTGTAGCGGTTCCCCGTTTTGGTAGGTTTTTTAAAATATTTTCGGTGGTATCAACGAAGTGATGATTGAAATCCATAGCTGATGCATCCGACTGGTTTGAGTGGTGATTCTTATGAACGTTATTAATAATGTCCCACATAGCCTTTTGGGGGTTGTGAGAGTTTACAATATAACTATCATGGCATGACCTTTTGGCAATTCTTATAGCATTCCTATACTCACAGCGAAATTGTTTAAACTTTTTGGCATTTTCAGGAGAAGGGTTGTCGTAATAGGTGTTTGACAGTAGTAAGAGCCGATCGCGTGACATTCTAAGGTGTTCATTAAACCATGTGGCGATATTTCCCAAGTTACTTTTTAAGAGTTTAGTTTTTTGATTAAATGATTTTTGCATAGCAGTAACAATTACATTTATAAATATAGAAAACTTTGATTCTATATTTAGTTCACGATACTTTATGAACGACCAGTCCACTTCATCTACAATTTTGAATAGTTTATTGAGTCCAATTCCTGTAATAGGAATATAGTTAATCCTAGTATGAATTGGTATGCATTTTCTTAGATATGTTTGAAATAGCAATGCATGGTGATCGGATAAACCAACATCAATTATACTTAGTTTGTAGCTACTTGGTTGGAAGTTAGTAAAGCAGTTGTCCAAGCAATTGTTTCCACGTGTATTACCATTCAAAGTGCTGCTAAACCCATAAGAAAGTAGCAGGTTTTTGAACGTCATGGTGTGGTTGTTTTCTACTAAATTAAACTTAATATTAAAGTCACCAATTATAACCACTTTGTTATGTTTAACAGTCAATCGGTTTAGAACTTTAACAAAATTGTTTAAAAAAGTTTCGAAACTTCCGTTAGGAGAGCGATAGACCGACACTATAATAATTTCATCAAAGTGGTCACTTATTACTGCACTTACGTCACAGTCAAATGGTAGAGATAAACCGTTTATTTGCGGTATGCTGTTGCATGTAAAAGAACGTTTAGAAAATATGGCCGTACCGCCGTACTCACTTTTCCGCCTACAGAAAGCAGCGCACAATCTGTAAGACTTTAACTCGATCGAATTCAGTTCATCTTCTGACAGCCAGTGTTCATTGATGCACAACAAAACTATAACCTTTGTCGATTAAGTAGGAGTCAATCTCGTCAATTTTGTTGCTGAGACACTGGACATTAATATGTAATATTTTTAAGGGTAATCCTGTTTGTTGAGGAAGGTCACTAGGATGCCGCAACATGCAGGAATTCTGTTTATACCTAGGTACAGTGGATTAGATCATCACCTCTCATATCTGAACTAAAACTGGGCAGTTTGGGTTCTCCGAAAAAAACGAAACTTCTTAATAACAACCCCATTGGGCCAATTTTCCCCTTTGTAAAGCACGTCAATTAGTTGTATACAACTAATGAGACTACTACGTGCTTCATCCCGTTTAGGTAGATCATCAACCTCAAAATTATGATCGGGAAATTTAGCAGTCAGATAATTAGTAATTTGTGAAGCGGCAGTACCTACAGCTACTCTACCAACATAAATCCAAGCACGTTTTGGGGTAACGCTGAAGCTTGGTCCAGAAGTTTGGTCGGCTTTCCCAATAGGGTAGATGACAAATTTTTTAAAACCAGTTATAACTGGTCGTATACCTCTACTATAACTTTAAAATATGATATTTCAGCAAAATAAATCATATTATTGCAAATTTATGCAATTTAAATTGTAGATTTTTATTCTAGCGCCAAAACGCTGTTTTGTGTCATGGCGGTATCTGTGACGTCACAGTCCTGACAATTATAAACACATAACCCCAGCGTAAATAGTTTTATTTGTTACTCAGTTGTAAACGTTGATTAACAAGACAAAACGCAAACGGGTAAACGTCATGTTTAAACGCTACTGACTTGTAAAACTGACAGCAGACCTGTAAAACTGACAGCAGACCTGTAAAAATTTTACAAGTTAGTAATCTAGTAATTTCATTGGCCAGAATTAATGCGAAGTCTCTGTTACATGGATAACATGATATTTTAGACATTTCTTCAAGATTAATTTAAGAACTAATTATTTACTAATTATTTACGTTTACTATTGTTTACAAATGAGTAACAAATAAAATATTGTACATTATACGCCAGGTAATAGTTTTTACTGGCTCTAGGAGATGACAAGCTCGCCTAACGGCTCGCTAGTCAACTTCTCCTATCGCCAGTAAAAACTCACTTACCTGGGTAATAATGTAAAATACTATAAAATTCGTGATGAATTATAACCACCGTAAGTGGTGCCCCACCATGGAGTACACTTTGTCGTGGTGTAGGGCTCAGTAGTCACATTTTTCTGTGGCACAGCTAAGTATCCCAGGCGGGTAAATCTGGTTCCAAGGATGCTGTATCATTCAAATGCTTCCTGGAGTAGAGAAATCCAAAAGGGTTTTCGACGATTGCTCATTAAACGTAACATAGAAAACTATATTGACATGAGTAGCACATTTTTCACGTACGTTAACTCCTGAGGCGTGCGGTAGACGACAATTTGGACAACTTCCGAATCCGATTGAGCCATTTGCCGATAGAGTTTCGAATAATCGGACTAGATCATGACTTGTAGGTAAACGTGATAAAGGAGACTTTATCGACACTAGTACTCCTTTGGACTCTGAGGGGTTGTAAAAGTAGCTTGATGGTTAGGGCAAAGAAAAGAATTGTTTTCTTCGTCGACAACTAAGGATCAAACTGCATACAGCTTTCCGTGAACCGTATGTTGCGGGCAAATTTTGACTTAACTGTGAATAAGTTGTCAGAATCTTCTGTTCGACTGCACCCAATGTAAGGTTCCATAAGAGTGCCCGCCATAAAAACCCAGACCTTTATCTACAAAATGTTCGTAACATAAAACATATGATAGCTTCGATGACCTAAAAGCAAAGCATTTTAAGTACACATTCCTCTTAAATAACTACATTTCTTGTAAAAAATCTAAGCTTAACTTAAAAACCTACAAGACTTATGGCAGTTTTCTGATGAACAAAAATCTGTGTTTGATGCAATAAATATTAACATCACTTCATCAATGTTTGGCAGATTTGCTGCTAGCAGCATTCGTACACCCACTTTCCATTCTTATCTGGTTTTAAAAACTAAACTTTAGGATAATATAATCACTATAAAATGCAGCAAGCACTAAATTAAAAAACGTAGACAAACTCTACAAAGCACAGAGGATTAGGATTATGACGTCACGCGCTCTGATTGGCGTTTGATATCACGTGACACATGTCGTTATTTTTTAATTTTAGTTTTACTAAAATATAATAGTTTCTCGGTACATTACCAAAGAAAGTTATTTTGCGATACCCTGACACCTTACTCTATCTCATGAAACAAACATTTATTTATTCTTGTTCCACTGTCATGTACCCTATTGTCACACCTTTTTGGAGAGATTTATTGCTGTCCGTCTCAGCTGCTTTCGTCAATTTTGGCAAAGCAAGTTTGATATTAGTTTCGCACGCTTTTAAATTCGCGTTTGCATTTACGTTAGCTGATAACTTATCACTCGCTACAGCACTAGACGGGACGTCACTATATTTTGGATTGGAATATTTAGTTATGTGTTGTACTTGTCGTGTTAGTTTTGAAGAACGAGTTCCTTGTATGTATTGTGTAATCCGACCTAAGTCACGTCTGATGTCATCGATGCGATTTATCAGGCGTTTTTCCCAGGCCGGGGGTGAGCGTTTTTTTTGTTGCGTGCTGTTCTTTGTTTATTGTTATTCTTGAACCGTTACATCTAGAAACTGCAACAGCACCGCAATACACAACAAAGTGTAGTTGATGTAAGCTTGTGTTATCGTTAATGTAATTTGGTAAAATGTGATCATTTAGTGTTTGTGAAAGTGTGCGTAATTTTGTAGTGTGACTTTGTTTAGGTAATCGTGGTCTTTGTGTTGGGTCAGTGTTTGAGAATTCTAACTATGCATTGTCAAATTCTTTTTGAAGGGATGTAATAGTGTTTGGTTTGTGTGATTATTTGTATCTATCGATTGCTGAGGTGTCGCAATTGTCTGTATTTCAGAGTTGTTTAGAATGAATGTATAATATGTATGTACGGTGAGTGTGTTGTTTGTGTTGAGTAGTGCTTCAATTTCGTGCCTGATTTGTTCCTGTGTGTCTAATGTAAGGAGTGTATTTTTAATAATGACTGTATACGTTGGTCTGCAATGCGTTGTTCTGTTAAGTGCGCTAAATGTGGGTATTGTGTAATGAAAGCGTGATGTAATTTACCTCTGTATGCTGTCTTCTCCGTTTCCATCTTCGTGATCTCCAGATACGTACCGAAAATGAAGCGATTCATCCCTTCGTCCCATTTCATACGTCTTTTGGAGGTTTCCTTTGCGCTGGTCCCATCCACAAGCGGTTGAGAAGCAGGCACAAAGGTCTCTTCTTGGTGATCCCCTTCAATTGGTCGTTGTATTATTACTATTATTATTATCCCCCCTTTTAATTTACACTCCATGGGAAAATTGAAATACGGTTGGTAAGCGGTACGTTCCTATTAATCTATTTGTTATGGGATGCGTAAAAGAGAACGACGTTTTCGAAACGTCAACGCGCCGCGCGGTGTTGCATTGCACTTGCAGGAATTTGAAATGAAAGTTGATACGTGCATGATTGCTACGCCACTGGTTAATATTATGAAACACATAACCTAGAAATTTTGTAAGACATGAAAATCCGATAAAAGTTTAACCTTATCGAAATGTGAAGTAATAAGCAATCTTTAATAAAGTTACTTGCTTTAGACGAGGTGTTTAAATGGCAACCATAGCAAAAAATCCGCCTTCACCATTAAAAAAATTCCATTTCCTTCACGGTGTAAAGTACGAGCATTTAGTTGCCGGTGTAGCGGGTGGGTTAGCATCCACATTAATCTTACATCCGTTAGATTTAATCAAAATTCGTTTTGCTGTAAACGACGGTAGAAGCAGTTTACCTCAACAGTATAAAGGCATAACAAATGCGTTTACAACAATATTCAGAGAAGGCGGTATAACTGGTCTATACCGTGGAGTTACTCCAAATTTGTGGGGCGCTAGTACATCGTGGGGTTTATATTTCCTCTTCTATAATGCGTTAAAAGTGCACACTCAAGGTGGAAATGGAGATATACCGTTAGGAGCAACGGCACATTTAGTATCGGCTGCCGAAGCAGGCGTCTTAACATTACTAATTACAAATCCGTTGTGGGTCGTCAAAACACGATTATGTTTGCAGTACGATACAGCTCCTGTAAACTCAAAAAATGTTGTTTACTCAGGAATGATCGATGCTCTTAAACAAATCTATCGACAAGAAGGCATACGTGGTTATTATAAAGGATTAGGACCAGGTATATTTGGTGTATCGCATGGGGCTGTGCAGTTCATGACGTATGAAGAAATGAAGAATAAGTACAATCAATATTACAATTTACCAATTACGAACAAGTTGGGTACAGTTGAATATTTACTATTTGCTGCAATTTCAAAAATAATCGCCGCAGCCAGTACATATCCATACCAAGTTATAAGAGCAAGACTACAAAATCAACATTATCGATATGAAGGCTCTTGGCATTGTGTACAACAAACTTGGAAGTATGAAAGATGGAGAGGATTTTATAAAGGGTTAGGAACAAACTTACTACGAGTGACACCTGCTACAATGATTACATTTTTAACGTATGAAAATGTTTCACACTTCCTTCTAAATAGAAATGCGAATACATTGTAGAAAAATTAGAATAGGTAATTTTTGTAAATGTAACGTCATATGTATACTTGAATTGTTCCTTTTCAATCACTGTTACTTGTTGAAACATAATTTCGCATCTGTGATTTGTTTATGTGAATAATGTTAAAGACATGCACCAATTTTACCCCAATGTCTTATTTTTTTAATATTTTTATTTCTAGTCGAATAAATTTTACTGAACAATATTTCTGATTTCATACCCTTGGTTGGAGTCCAAATTTTAGACATACTGCTAGATTCACTACTACCATTATAGTATGTGCAGTTAAAAGTCAAAATGCACTTGCTGAAGCACAATTTTCTTTCTTTTCAAAAATTCAGCTTTCTCAAGGTCTGAATGCTAAGATCGCAAACTCTCGGACAGAATCTGAAGCAGTTTTTTTCTTGAAAAATATTCCATACTCGATTCAATTTAAAAGGGTAGCGGTAAAAGGCATAGAGAAGCTTTGATCTTCACTGTGATTGGATACAACACGAGTCAGAATAATGGTGAAAAATAAACGAGTGATGAATTTTGTAAGCTGATAGTTTCTGTTGTTAACTAAACTGTCATTAGCTGTTCATGTCGAAGATGCAAACATGAAATTGCTTGATGTATTTGTGTTTGCAGTGCTGGATATTTCTATTGTACCGGGTGATCCAATAAGACTGTTCCTCGACCATATCTCGAGAACCGTTCGTGAGATGACTTGGGGGTTAAAAAAATTATTGGTTAAATCGGTCATGAAGATCGCTGGAAAATATTTTCAAGTTCTAAAAATGACCAACAGAGTGCGTAACTACCATCTTAAATTTTAAAATTGCTTTTTCTTTAAATTTGGCATAATAAACTAAAAATACATTTTTCGCATTTTTAAAGAACCAGTTTACTTATCATTTTCGTAAAAACAAAAACTCAGTTATTTCAAAAACAAAGATGGTGTGGGGCGTTCAATTGTTTTTGCAATAACCTGCTTTAACTTCTTAACCGTTTGACCGATTTTAACAAATTTGGTATGGTTGAAAAGAACATTCCTTGGGCAATGAGAATCAACCAAACTATAGTTAATTTAGTTGAATCCTTCTCCGCCAGGGGGCTGCTTTTGAACACTATGACCCAAATTCCTAAAAAAATCAAATGGAATTATATGACTTTTTCTCAAAAAGAATTAACAGCTTCATTATATTATGACATTGGATCCGCTACTGTAGGCAAATTTGCTGAATAACAAATATAATCGCCGGACTTCATCCACCCAAATAACATAGCTCGTGCTAACTCCAATGTACAATTTTCTCTCTCCGCTGCATCATTTTGCAAATAAAAAAATAGTAATACCATGACTTCCCAAAATATGACGAACTTCCTGGGTGCCATTGTGCCAAATTCCCTACTTTCATCACATCTGAACTGATCTGATTTTTGTGTGTTGTGATCTACCTACTGTAGATGCCTCCGCCAAAAAAGTTTTCAAACAGAGCCATTTCCCTTTTGTGCTTGATAAAAAAACACTCGCCTGTATCTACAGAGTCATCTTTTAAATATCTGAGGTATCTCACCTTGTGATCCTCAAAATATTTGATCTGCTCGAGGACAATTTCAGACCTTGCCTTGCTTAAATGGCTTTCCCAAAACACTAATAGTAAAAATGTATACCTATACACGGTGTTCAAGACAAGGATGTGTATTGTTGGGATCTCCGAAACCATAGAAGATATGACAATGGTCAAATTCGAGAAAAGATTAAAGAGTTATTATCATGCTTTAAAGAAAACCCAAAAATTCCGATTGTTGCCACTTTTTGAGCTCTACAAGACAGCGTTAAGAGATTTTCAATACAACGTTTCGTTTCAAAGAAATCATTATCAATTTTATTTTTTAGATGGCCCGTAAAAATACATAATGTATTGAGTAGCACATTTTATTACGTGTACAACAATGTACAGCACACACAAAAAAACAAAAGCTGGAAACCGCGCACATCACTCTAATTGTAAGAAAATACTCGGACATATTTTCCATTTTCCCGGAGATTGCCTGATAGGTATTCTCGCCGTTGTGCGCGAGTGCACCATCCTGTTGAAACCAACCGTTTCCTTTTTTTTGTGTGTGCCGTACATCGTTGTATTCGTAATAAAAAATGCTACTCAATACCTACAGTACCTATATACTTTTTTTATGGATCATATAAACAAAAAAAAGTTGATGAAACGAAACGTTGTGTTTTTATATTATTTTATATATTATATAATATTATTTGAATTTTTATAATTGTTTTTTTATGTTGTGTATACAATTTATTTATAGCTTGTTGAATAAAGACAATATTAATATTATTATTAGCTTAAACATTAGTACATGTCAAAAATTAAGTTTGTCGTTCAAAACTCCTTGCTCTAATTCCCCAAGTCCTATCACTTTTAGTTTATTACGGACTACGGAGACATGCAAAACGCAAACGTCCCAATGGTTTTGAGAAGATATCACATAGGTCATTGTTCAGTGCTGGAGATATGTCCCAGTTTTAGAATACAATCATGAATTTTTTCCCAAATAAAGTCAAATCTAATAAACTGATCGCAGCCTCACTGCCCTATTTTCGATGTTTAATCAATTATCCATATTCTAGCGCTAATGTTTGAATCAACTCCTAATCGCATCATCTCTATTTGTACCATGAAAGTACTGCACCGATTTTTCTTACAGGTGGCGCCGTAGGACGATTGCATTCACCTAGGGCCACCGCGGAAATAGAAGGAGATGAAGGGGAAATCATTAGCATAGATACACCTACCTTTCCACAAGTTGATTTAGCAGCTCTTCTTCAAGAAGTTACGCCTTTACCGCAGGACATTCGCCATAACACCTCCAATTTAAAAATATTTCCTACTTTACAATTTGTTCCATGTTTTATGTCTGTGTGGGAAGAATCCGAAAGCACAACCAGTACCTCTGATCATCATGTTAAAGAATTGTTATTAGAGTACCAACAAAAAAATGACGCCGTTTCTTTGGGAGACGTTGCACCTCACGAATGCGGACCGTCAGTCGATGAGAACTACGAAAAAAGCACGCCCGCGCACGGTGATAAAATGTTTCATTATTTTTTAACGAAGATACAGAAAAACCCCGGCCAGATATTAAGGTGTGTAAAATTGCCGCATTAGCAGTGAAATACCATTTATTACTTTTGCAGGTACAGTCGAGATGGTCCGCCTCCTTTGCTGCTTGCACCTTTCACTGATCGAGTAAGAAAATGTGAATATTGTGACGGCGAAATGATTTTTGAATTCCAAATACTTCCAACACTAATTCCGAAATTGAGACTAGTAGGTGACGCTAAAGATAGTAACCGGTTAGAATTTGGAACTGTGTTAATATTTTCTTGTCGAAAAAGTTGTTGGGATACAGATGCAATTACTCGTAAAGAATTAGTTTTTCTACAGAACGAAAAATATTAAACGATTGTTGTCTGCCATTTTTAGAAACTATTACCATAAAGCACATAGGTTTTTTGCACTTACCTACTTATATTTATGAAATGTAGAACTTATCCATCTAATAAACTTTATGATAGGTAGTGATCTTCTTTTCTTACTTTTTATTATTTGACACTCGAAAGACTTATACAGCGAATGGCGTTTGTTCACCAAAATCTGGAGAGTATGCTGAAGGAAGAGGAAATATACTACTATAGTTTCTCGAAGCCAAAAAGCTTCCTAAACCTGTAAGGGTAATGGTATGGTTCCAGGGCCTCGGAGGAACTGGAGAAACTAGTGGATCAGGTAAGTATAAGCAGAACCCACGTGTGGCTATTAAGGATTGGAGACCATTGAAAGGAATTAGGATCCCAAAGGGTAACTGATCAAAGTTTCTGAGAATAGCTGGAGAAGGTACCATCCTGTTAACTTCTCCAAGGTCACCTTTAAAGCGATTAGGAAACCAAAGACATAAGAAAGTGCTGAAAGCGATGACATGTAAGTGAAAAGGTAGTTCGCACAGCTCTTACATGTATACATGACTCAAAAAGATATACATCTTGCTTCAGTCCAAAATTCGTGGGTCCTAAAAACCAGGTCAAAAGCTTATGTGAATCTGAAAGATGGGTTGTGAATTGGCGTGCGTCTCTAATCGCAGGTTTGACACTAAGTCAGCTGACCTAGAAATGTACAGAAACCTGCAGATTGGGCTATTGTGGTGACATACCCCTGCGGTTAGGCAGTCGAACAAATCACAGAATGGCTTCTTATACTATACGAAGCGCTTTGTATATGTTACCGGCAAACTGCAAAATGCCTAGGCATTTCGCGAAATGACGAATGCAACATGCAAAGTAAGAAATAGAACTGCAGTTCGCACTTTGCCTGCCTCTCTTTAGGGAAATGCCTAAACATGCAGGCAAAGATTGCCCATACAGCGTTGCCATTGGCCGATGGTAAACGACGCGATGATTGCGATTTAATTAAAGTACTCGCTAAATATTGCGATCACGTTTAGTCTGCATTTCTTCTATGGGTTTTCTGTTGAGTCACGCTTTGGATTTACTGTCGAGAATATATCAAATGGGGGGATTAAGTTACTAACGCGACGGTTCTACGTTTGGCACAGCTGCACGCGCAATCTGTGGAAAATAACCGAGTTTTCTCACTTTGCCTGAATGTTTAGGCATTTCGCGAAATCCCTAAAGAGAGTCGACAGGCGAAGTGCGAAGTCGATTTCCATTTCTCACTTTGCCTGCTGCATTGGTCATTTCGCAAAATGCCTAGGGATTTTGCAAAATGCCGGATTTCGCAGTTTGCCGGTAACATATATATCTGGTTAACGAATTTATTCATTATTTGCCTGTGGTATATTTGAGGTAAGTATATGGAATAAATGGGCAAATGTGTTAATATTCTTTAATGGCCAATGGCGATCGATTTCGGGGCCATTGCTCATCATCAGGCTGTGCGTCAAAAGGGGTGATGTTTCACAATTCGTTTTTCATCACCCCCTTTGACGCACGGCCTGATGATGGACAATGGGCGCAAAATCGATCCCCATAAGCCATTAAAGAATATTAACACATTTGCCTATTCATTCCATATGCTTTGAATATGCTGCCAGCAATCACTTTTCGCAGCTGTCAAAGAACAGGGAATTTACACAACAAAGCTCGGGGAAAAAGTTAGCGTCGATTAACGGTATTCGAATCCGAACCTTTATATTGTTTTATTAAATATTTATTTATGTGTTCGTGATACCAGTTTATTATCGCAGTGTGCTGTTATTCTGTGCCTGATGTTCGATTCAACTATTCCTTGGAGGGAGTTTCTCTGAATGAGTGGTTTAACTATTTTCGTGTTTATTGTGTTTTGCACTAGAATTAATTTCTCGTATTTACCACTTATATTTAGGTACGTTTCATTGTGTTTTGTTGTTGTTGATTTAACACTGCATTTGACTTGATTATCTGATTTAATTTATCGTGTTTTCCACTTGCATTGAAATGATGTCTCTTACGTTTGTTTTTAGCGTATTTTCCTCAAAGTGAAAAATCGCTATTCGCTGCACTTTGACGTCCGTCCGTCCGTCACACTACTCCTTCTAAACCACTGAACCGATTTTGGCGATATAGGACTCATTTGAAAGGGCTTGGTCCAAGGATTCCGTGCATACTGATATTTTTTGGTTGGTGCATGCGCAGTGTCAAAAATTTGGTTTAACACATGTGCGATAACAACTTTTTTATTTATGAAGATATTTAAATGCAACTTTATATGTAAACACTACGAATATAAGTACAATTAACGACCTTTTCAAAATTTTGTTTTGCGCATGCGCAATGCCAAGTTTCTTATTTATGAAGGCATTTAAATGAAATTTTATAGGTACATAGGCATTTGGCATAGGCAAATCTAACACCAGTTTTAAAATTTGGTTTTGCGCATGCGCAATTGCAACTTTCTTATTTATGAAAGCAGTTAATCGAAATATCATGTAGGCACCTTGAATGAAACTAAAACTAATACCGGTTTCAAAATTACTGTTAACGCATCCTGTATGTTTTATTTATGAAATAAAATTTCTAATGTAGACAATGCACAATTTTTCATTTTTCATATGTAAGACACTTCGAATAAAAGTAAAGCTAATGCCTATTTCAAAATTTGTTCGTATTTGTATACGCTCCACTATTTTTCATTAAACTGTAGAGACTTCGACGATAGGCGGCTCATTTGAAAGAGAATGGAGTAAGGATCTCGTGCCTACCGGTATTTTTTCCTGGTCCTAGCATTAATATTATTATAATAGGAGGAAAATACGCTCTCGTCATTTATATTTGCATAATGGCTTTTTAACTTGTTATAAATTTGTTTGCGTCTGATTCAGTGCCTGATGCATGATATTTCTATTCTCCTATTTACGATGTTGATGTTGATATATTTCTTGTATTTGTATTTTGTATACATGTGTTATGTCAGGTTTTTTTATTTTATTTTTGTGTGCGCAATATACTACCAATCTTTCATATCCCAACACATAAAAGAAAGGCGTAGCATACACAACGTAGGTCCTATTCATGCTACCCGGTCATAGCCGACTGCTACCGAGATGCAAGAGTGCCGAAAAAGGTTCGTTCTTTCAACTCGAAAGTTAGATGACTTTCCTATAGCGCGTTCGCACCTCCAGATGCAGTAGGGGGTCTTATGGACTAATTGCCTCTCTTTACTAGTTTGCGTCATTTTTCTATAATACTACCCTTGATTCTGACCGCATTGATGTCACATGACACATGATTAAATTGAAGTATTAAAACCAATTAAAACAATACATAATCTCCTTGAGCTTGGCTAGCATGTACTGTATGTCCATAAGCATCATACTTCATCTGGAGATGGGAACGTGCTATATTGTAGCACTACGGACTGTTATTAGCCCTATGCTTTTCATACAAAATAGGTGGTCACGGATAGGGGGCACTGTAGTCGTGAGTATGTGAATCGCTCAGGGTAAACTAAAGTGTAAACGCCACTAAGATCGCGTAAAGAGCAGCTTCTATAACAACGCGTAGTACGGCAAGCTTACTCTTCATTATCTTCTAAACGTCCACAAATAAGAACAGGTTTGCTTTTTTTGCCATATCTAGGCGCTTAATTGACGTTTGTTAATTTTGTATTTTGTACGGAACGGAGTGGACGATTTAGACAAAAATTAGTTTTATTCCCAAGAGTTGACAACTGAAGGTATATATAAGACAAGTCAAAATTATATAGTGGCAGTGGGACCCCTAGGATAATTTACAGGCTCTCCGGAGCCATAATGGATATGTTCGAAGCCAGGTGCTTGCTGAAAGAACAGAAACCCGGTTCTGGTAACGCGAGGGGCTTACTCGGATGCAGACAGGGATCAGAAAGCTTTTTAATGTTACCAAAAGAACAAAACAAGCCCCTCTTTAATAATAAAGAATTAAATTTTTTTGTCATTCCAAAACTGCAGGTGGAGCCCTAGTTTAAGGGTCAATGTCGTATGTTGTACATTTAATCTGTATTTAATAAGTAGCCTTTTTGATTTATCCAATTATCCAGATGTGATTATCCGAATTGTGTCCAGTCCTAATTAATCTGGGTAATTGGAGGAGTAATCCTACTTCAATACGGAAACATCTTTAATTGCTTTAACTAGTAATAATTAACAAAACAGGACATATACAAGAAGTGCACAACAAATGCAACTGTACAAAAAATTACAACCTACCTAACATATTACACCATAAATATAATACAATACACTTACAAATGAGATGAATTTACATATAATTTAGAAAGTATGATTACGCATGATTACCATTTTGAGAACTAGTACTGCTAGGTTGATTCGGACGTGGAACTCGTATATGAATAACTCTTCGCGGATCTGAAGGGTGTATTAAGTCATTTTTATTTTGCCACCTCCAATATCGCTCTTCTTGCTTCCTTCGCTTTCGATCCACATATCCTACCAAACAACTTGCAGGAATCCATATCAGTGCAGTAATAATTACAACTGATCCCACAATATTGTCACGGAGAAACAGAAGAACTTTATTTATATTTATGTCTTCTATTATGTCCCAAAAACGTTCCACTACGTCTTGTATAGTTTTCTCACAACTTCCCTGTAATTAAAATCAATGGACTAACACATCTCAATAATAACACAAATTATAGGAACATTTGACTAAAAAAATTTGCTAAAAAGTTTACAGTTCTATTTCTTATGCTTATGTAACTCAAACTAATATTGAAGTGTCCCTCAAAATACCTTGTTACAAAATCCTTGGATACAAGGTGTTCCATCTGGTAGTATATCTGGCGGTTCAATAGGGAAGCAGGTTTCATTCATACTTGTACGACAACACCTTCTACACGCATTCTCAACTGCAAAAAAATGACTCATTAACATGGTGTGAGTCGAGGTGTGAGTATATGCTGGAATGCTGATTGATTTTGAACAGTACAAATGAAGAAAGTGAAAAATACTTACTTATATCACACATACAACTTTGAAGTCCTTGTGTTTCACAATATGGGGTACATTTACCACCCCTACATTTTCCTCTCTCCTGGCAATCTGTTCCATCTGGCATAGGGGGACTTCGAGGGCACTCTGCATGCATTCCAGTACAATTTGATTCCCGTTCACATGTTGTATATTGGGCCTTCCTACATTCTACGCCCTTTGTCATGTACTGACAGTTCTGGCAGCACGGAGAGTTCTTGTCACTAAAATAGCGATTAATTGTAGAAGAAATAATTAGGCTGAACGGAAAACCTGCAAACAGCTCCTTGAATTCTACGAAGCTTACAATCCTTATCGCAACAGGGATCATTGTCTTCGGTGCCCAACAGTCCAGCATCACACTCCTCATCGCCCTCTACTCTCAAATTTCCACAAAAACTTTCCTCTGGTTGCGAAAAACACCTCTCCGATTTAGCTTGCAGTACTTTACGAATGGACCTCAAGCTGCATGGTGAAAACCTCTAAAAACAAATCCATTAAACTGTTTCTACATGATGTATTTGTATTTACTTACTTTGTTATTTACATCATACCCACTGACACTGTACGTATACATGAGGTACGAACCACCTTGACTAGCACTTGGAGAGCATTCTGGTATGTCGGGATCATGTTCAGAGCCCCAATTATGACCAAATTCGTGTGCAGTAACCAAGTCTGCTTCGCGAGTAATTACACGTTGCCCGTAATGGTTCCGACTTGAGCTTAGTCCCGAATTTAAATACAAAGTGTAACCATTTTTAAAGTACTCTGAAAGTGGACTTGTGATAACAACAGCAAAATTACTATGACTTTTAAATGTTAATACATGCACAGCAAATGATTAATAAGCGTTATTCAAAATGAACATGTTTTTGAAATTTCTTTCATAATTCAAAATGATTAAGAAAGATTGCAAGTTTACCGTTTGTTGATTGGCTAATGGATGAACAGAGAGAGATAGAGAGAGAAAAGGACAAATAGCTAGGTGTGAACCAGGTTTTAAGATCATTATTTTTTATGTTTAGCACTGGAAGTGCTCAAGTGTTATTTCTTGAAATGCTTCCACTATAATAGACAACTAACTTAAATTTGTTTTTCAAACACATTTGAGTGTTAAGAAGTAACTCCTGTGAATAGATAAGACAATTTTGAAGAACTAATTTATTGTTTACAATCTCCGGGAAAGTGGGCGTCTTTTGGTACCTCAGCTATCTCTGAGAGGTTGTCTATGTAGAAACCGTCCTCTCGTTTGAGGCTAGAGTTATAAGTATGAACTTTTCGTTAGAATTTTATTTAGGCAGGATGCAGAACAGCAAAAACTCTTCCATGCTTTTCTCTGACGCCTCCTAATATCCTTCTTATATAGGTAGCCAGGTCGCCTTAGGTTTACTTTATAGGCCTCTACCAATCGGCTATAGCTTTGCTTTTCTTTGCCAATTGGGAAAACATATGATCACTCACAAAACAACATAACGACACAGCAACATGGATTAATGCAGAACGAGCTCAAGCTAGTAATACAAAAAGTACGTAACTGGAAAGCACCAGACGTAGACCATATACACAACTTCTGATATAAACAATTTACATCTCTGCATCAACATTTAGCAAAAAATATTGATCAAATAAATGTATAAACAAATATAGAAAACGAGCTCCTGGGTATGGCTATGTGCAAAACCAAATTTTGAACTTGGTGTTAGTTTTGCTTTTATTTAAAATGTACATGTATCAAATTTCATTTATTGCTTCCATAAATAAGAAAATTGGCACTGCACATCATGCACAAAACCCAATTTTGAAACTGGTGTTAAATTTGCTTTTATTCCAAGTGGCTATGTATCAAATTTCATTTAAATGCTTTCATAAATAGAAAGTTTGCAATCTGGTTTGTAAATAGTCGAGATGCGAAAAGGGCACTGTAAATGTTGATCGATCAAGCTCAACTTTTGGAATTGCGTTTTATATGGCTGAAGCTATACCCATATTGAATTTCATGCAATTCGGTTCACAACTCACAGAGATGTCAGAAGGGCCTTCCTTATTTTTTGGGCTATATTGTCAATTCACGAACGATACAAATTCGATAAAGAATCCACCTACAAAATTTCATCGTAATCGACCCATTCGTTATCGAGATATCGTACTGTACCAGAGCTTAGGGTGGGTGAGTAAAACCACAATGCCAAAAAGCCCAAAACTGATTTTATTGCCGGCCGTGAACAAGAAAACTAAAATAACATTGCATAAACAAAAAAAATCTCTCTACAAACCTAACAGCCCCTTACCTAAAACCAGGCAGCGCGTTACCAAAATTAACAATTTTGTCCCAGCCGCAACCCACAGGATTTAAGTAGTCTTAACCGCGACGCAACAACAAATCAAAATGAGCTCTCTAATAACCAAACCAAACCAAACACGCATGTCACCTGAACATCAAACCTTATCAACATTAGTCCACGGGCGTAATTTTAAAGTTTACAAGTGGCGTTCATTCTCAAACGAATAACTAAAATAACTATTAATTCTAACGTACAAATTAATATCCTGTACAGTACTAACGGACGTACGGACAGACACCGCAAAATTATAAACTCGCTAGGAGCTCGCAAATTACCAGAGATTCTAACGCAAGGTAAAACATATATTTACTATTCCTATAAGCCAAAATACATAAGATCCGCCACCTGCCTACCCACACTACATCATGTCCTTCATCATACACAATAGAAAAACATACTGACAAACGAACAGAGTTCCATGCCAACGCCGCAACCAGACAGATAGACGTTAAACTGTCAAACTTTTGTTCACAACAAAAGAACTTTTTTTTTCAAAACCACTCTTCGCAAGATATGAAAAATTGTGTTTTTAGGAAAAATGTAATACTGAACCACCATGTAAGATACATCGTTGTAAAGAGAAAAGAAAACATAATCTCAAACTGTCAAAATCAAAAATGGCGGCTATAAGAAAAAATAGAGTTTTAACGTGAGGTTAATGCTTGCTTATTAGTTGATTTGAATTTCGCGCCAAGTAAGTGCACATCATGGCGGCCCCCATGTAGGTGTCATTTGTCAATTCAGCATTAGCAGTCCATCTTAATTCATAAGTTCGTGATTATTATGCACGAAAATTCGAAACATTGCCCTCATTTAACCCACATTTTATATTTTAAGATAAGCGAGATCCCCATAATGGCACTCGAACAATGGACATCCTGTATGTATGTATGTATGTATCTACTGTATTATTCAAATTTGAGAGATGACGTTATTTAGAGTTAAAAATTGAGGTCATTTCAATTTAAATTTACTGTACAGAGTGGCCCAAATTGGACACATTCTTATGGCAACACCCTTTATTTTAAGGAATAGAAAAAAATGGATGTAGGTGTCTGAAGCTGAATTTTAAAGAGGAAATCAACGGCCCAAACAGAATTCAGCTACCTCTAATCGTTTGGCCGTAAGGGTCGATTTCTTTAATGCCCCATAACTTTCTTACTATTAAAGATAATTGATTTTGGAAAAATCTTTCTTAGGGCACTTTTTTATGTGGAATCCATCGCGATACACCGTTTTTATATAGGGTGCTTTTTAATACGACCCTAAACTATATTTTTCATACGGACCACCCTATATATTTTGGAGTTTTTGAAATGAGCGCAAAATTTACTAAATTTTGATGTAACACTTGTTATATTATATAAAATACTATTATATTACATTTTATACATTAAAATAATTTTATTACAGACAATTTCTTGGTTGTCTGTATTATTTATTTATATATTATATGACTTATTTGTTTTATTCATATTTTCACGTTTTTTTAAAATTGTTTGTGTGTTATTTGAAATTAAAAATATTTGGAACTAATAAAAATATCCACATAACCAAGAAATGGTCGTTTTAAACAATCCTGCCATCTTTTGTCCACCTTGGAAACCTAGATGACCGCAATAAAAATAGATTAATCTATAAAATGCAATATTGCAAAAAGACTGCTGCAATTTTTGTAATGTACATATTTCTCATATTTTTGCTTATCAGCATTATCATTTTTAAGTTAAGTGAAATTTGAAATTTGTGAAATTGATACCAAAAAAGGAAAGGTGCATTAATGTTAAAACAAGAAAAAAGAAAATTATCAGTCAGAGAACCCCATACCTGGTGTGCAAATACCGCCGACAGAGTTGCGTCTAGGAGATCCAACATAAGCAAGACCTAATATGCCTCCTTCAAATTTTAGGTCAGTGAAAAGATGAGCCAAGCAAAAGTCCTTATGGCTATATTCACGACTGAAAACCTACACCACATTAAGAACGAATCGAAAGCAGTCAGTGTTTAACCTTCAGATAAATAATAATCACATTCGCAAAATGTTTAATCAAATACAGAAAAGTATGTACAGAGTGAGTTGTTTTTTTTCCATCGAGAGAAATTAACTTTTTCTCCAAAATCAATTTTTCAACAAATAATCTAAGCATCTGAAGGTTAAATTAGTAGCAACATTTAAGTCTAATTAGCATGACACAAAGAAAAGCAAAAAAAATCTAAAAAAATATTAACCCTTAGTACAAATTCCGCCATGCCTTCTATCTTGAGGAGATGCAATATAAGCTAGGCCCAATACTACTGAATCTCTCGCACTAAACGTTTGATGCGTAAATAAATGTGCTAAACAAAAGTCCTCGTATTCTTTATTTCGCGAAAACACCTTCAAGTTTAAAATAACAGAAAATTGAGTAACACAACAAGTAAACGAGAGAATTACCTCCAGCAAATTTCGTACGTCCCACTTTTCGCGAACCATATTATAATGAGCCTCCCCACCTCTCACCCGCGTAGGCTCGCTATGGACAACAATTTTCTTAATCACAAATCCCATACCTTTAAACCCATCCAATTCTTGACGATCGTGCCAGATTGTATCGTTGTATATCTTGTGGACGCGATCAATGAGACTGATCTGAGAAAAAAAATTCTAGGCGATCAAAAGCGTTTCAAAAGCCTTACTAAATAATTAATTGTAGTTTTGGTGTTGCTCGCCCCCATTTCTTGAAAGAATCGATAATCCGCTACCAACAGTAATGGACATCGGGTTTTCGTTGGTGTATACTCATAATGATCTACTTGGCGTTTTTCCCTGTGCGTATTTGACTTCCAAACATTTTCAACTTCGTTTTCTGCGTCACTCTCTAATTCACTTCCTTCTTTTATGTACCCGCAAATTTTCGGGCCCATCACGTCATCGTTATAATTTGACTGATCCCAACTTAACTTCACGTCTGAACCTTTATATACAATCATGGTTTTATTATTCCCATCTGAAAGGTGCCTCCAAGAAGGCTGTGAAAAAATTATTTTTATGAAATTAATGCTATGGAAAAAACAGAAGAGCAATGCATTTTGCTGTACTGGTGATGTTAGTTGTATTTCGAAAAGATTAATAATCCATTAAGCATCGATGTAAGAGAGTACGCATGCGCAGACAGAAATATTAATTACATTAATTTTAATTAAGGGTAGTCTTAACTTAATTTTTTTAGGCCACCATCTGCAATGTGTTTATTTACACATCATCAAGATTACTACAAAATTTATTTCAATCGGTAAAAAGAAGGTTGATATTGGATCTTTTACTTTTTTGACGGAAATACGAATTCTCAAGGATCGGGAACCTGAATCAAACAACTATCAGAACTGTCAGTGAAATAACTAAACGCAAGGACAAGATTTGAGAACAAAATTTCCCTATGGCCCATTTTAAATAACTCAACGCCTTTACATTGCGTTATGCTAGGTGTGTAGTTTCTATGGCCCATCTTTAAAAAAACACCCTGTATAAAAAATATTGAATAAGCAATACTATGGTACATAGGTATAAATGAATATAAAGTGAAATTGTATTTTATATGGGAAGTAGGTGGGTATTTCTGTGTAATATGAGTGCAACGTGTATCTCCATATGAACATTGGACAATGTTAAAATTTATTATGGAGATAGGAGCGAAGGAGTGAACCTTTAATTATTAGAATTTGCGTTCCTAAATTTCAGGAAAACGAAACGCCATGTTCCATTTTCGTAATGTAGGCGATTAAACTTACATATTGAAGTTTTTTTGAAAAAAAGTTTAGTTTTTTGACTGTAATTCCCAAACCAATTGAAATTTTTTTTTCAAAATTGTTCATTTTGTGTAGTTTTATTAGTTTACTACACTAAACATTTCAACAAATTCGGTTCACTGGTTCGCCTAAAAATTAGGCACGCAGTTTCTCCATAAATTTTTGCAGTATATGATTAACCACCTCATAATTTTCGGCGCACCAGACGTCCATAACAGCTCTTTTTAAATGTTTTGTAAAAAGCGGCGTATATGGATTTGTTGAGGAATACTAAGCGGTGCGCTGGTGATCATCATCGAATAATCTGTGATCGAATATAGCTCAGCTATGGAAATTCGGTTTCGCAATACACGCTCCTGCTCAATAGCGTCCTTCCCATTTAGTCACCAAGCGCAAGTCTTTATACTTTCTTACATTTTCCACTAATTTTCGAAATAGACAGTTCACCATTAGTTTGAAAAAATGTATCTTGAATTCGTTTCTCGATTATTTTCGCATAGACGTGTTCAAATCGTTATACTTTCTGAACCACTGTGACTGTTTAAAGCGTAGGACATGATGAATTGAAATAAGTTCAATAGTGCACGACATTATTCCGTTTTGGGGTACAGCGTGAGCAATAATTTCTTAATTTTAGATCCTGGGGGAGACATGTGCTCAGGAGCTAGGGGGAGATCACTAGGCGTCTCATGCAATTCTCTTGGATAGTCTAAATCACATTCTAAAATGTAACCGATGTCTGAGTCGTCCGAATTATTTCATATAATCTAACAACTCAAAGTTATCTACAAAGCCAGAATCTCCTAAAGATTCACACATTGTTCTTCCATAAAGTGAATTTACATCGAAATGTTAGGATTGTATCCTTCATACATACTCGTCTATTTATTGTTAGCTTTGGCATAACAAGTAGTGCATTGGGGACTGGGGACACCTCCTCTAATTCCTTTCTCAATCAGTTAAAAGTTTTAATCTAATTCCTGTAATCTTCAACATTGCATCAAATGCCCAGCCCGGAGCGGTATAGTACTGCAAAGGATCAAGTTGATAACATCTGCAAACAGGTTTTCCAAAAATATTCATTCCTACTTCTTCTTCTCCTGTTATGGGTTTAGTTCTCACAACAGACCTGACTACCTTCCCATGATTAATCCATTAAATTTTGCTTTCGGCGTCATTCCCAGAAGAAGTAGGTATATATTTCAACTTGAACAAACAAATCAAAAACAAGATAATTTGGATAATGATCCATAGTGGAAATTGGACGAAATCATATGAACCTTAGAGAAGGAAAGTTCATACTCTAAGATATGAACACTGTAACCCTGTTTGACATTTGATTCGAATGAGATTCCAAATAAAACGATTGCTGCATTCAGAAATATATAGTGGTTATAATTCGAAAAACTGAAGTTTTTGACTGGTAATTTTAAAAAATCGCAAGAGCCCTGCAAACTTTCAAGACTTTCAGCAGCCCCTCAAAAAATTCCTTAGACTTTAAGGTTTTTAAGAAATACTGGTTCCAGTATTTACGGAAGCAGTGAAATTATTTCATCCGCGATGGTCGATTGTGGCTGTGAAGCTCGCTATGAAGTGTGGACCAAATTTCTACTTCAAATGCAAGTTCAACAATTTCTAACGAATGAGCTACGTGAATCTCTCTTTGTAAAAAGTTCTTTATCCTGCTATATCCAAAAAAGTGTACTCTAATATGTAATGAAAACTAGTAGTTGCCCCCTTGACCATACAAAGGTACGCAACTTACCACAAATTAGATTGGTAGCAAAATTTTTATAATTGTGGGTACCGAGGTGGGTACCATAAAAAAACTTCCAAAAAATGTAATTTCTTTATTTTTAAGTGGGAGGGGTTTTGGCCAAGGTTAGTGCACGAGATTGTTCATAAATGTTCATAATGTTGTCAATAGTCAGCACAAAAATTTTAACGTTTCTTTTAGTTGTTAGTTTAACAACATACAGTGAATTTTTTTTTTAATGTGAACATAGGAGTTTGCATGCAATGTAATTTCCCTATGTTCGATTTTTAAAAAAAAACACATCAATTTATTGAGTAGTTCAAATGAGTAGTAGATACAATTGACAGCTGTCACATTTTTAAAAATACCGCCGTCCAATTTAATTACGAAATCGGTTAAGTTATTGCTTAGAATGTCAAGGAGGACACTTATAACATTTATTGTAATTGTTTGAGCTATTTATTTTCTTATTTTCTTCATTTATGTATTGAATAGATCAAATTAGTAGAATACCAGGTGCACATGACCTACAAAGAATTGAAGGTTGGTTCACAATGAGTTGTGGTGTCAGTGCGTGGCCTGTGAGGTCAAGTTATCGTAAGTTTAAGAAAAATGTTTCCTAAAGTTGCTATGGCCTCACATGACTTCTTTAAAAAAATCTTACCGAGCGCTCTTCATCATAAAGACTATAGAGTTGCTGTTCATAGTCACATAAGTTGGGCGTTTTGGGAATGTGAACCGCGCACAACTCATAGATTGATGTGTTTTTTTTACAATCGAACATAGGGAAATTACATTGCATGCAAACTCCTATGTTCGCATTTAAAAAAAACTCACTGTATAAACTTATCACGAGAAGAGTTGTCTTAGCAAAATGCAAAATTCTTCCCCCTTCGCGCCCGCCTCCATATTGAAAAAATCGAAAAAAATCGGTACTTTCTTTAGATTTACGGGAGGATTTATGCTTATTACTTCGTTTCGGTGCATTTGAGCTACTAAAATTTTCTTCCTCTCCTAAATCTTTTAATTTTTTTTTAATGTTTGAAATAATTTATATACATTTTTAAATAAAATCAATTGATATGCTACAAAAGAGTTCTATTCAATGTTCTAGATAATTAAATTTCCTAAATTTTGTTTCTAGACTGATAGTTATAGTAGGGGAGGTCGCACGAAATCCACTGAACGAGAATGATCAAAATTTTAACCGATGGAGTTCCATTTTGCCCTATCAGAGTATGCTAAAATCGATCGTCTGCCGCCTCAGGTCATATGACTTAAGGCGCTGCGGGTACTTCTTGCGGTACCAATTCTGAAAGGTTGTTTTTCGAGAAAATAAGTTATACACCAAATGAAAACGTTGATAATAGCTCTTAAAAAAATATTTAAAAAAATCGCACACATTTGATAACTCCGTAAAAAAACAATTCTTAGTCGGTTTTTGACGAACTTTCAACGGATATAACTAGGTTACCGTTGGATGAATGAAGCTGATTTTTTTTATAGACTAATGGTAGGTACAGCCAATGACTATGAGAGTGTTTCTTTTTTGAATTTTTTCTCTAATTATAAGATATGTTATAGTGTTAAGATAATAAGATAATATTGTAATTAGACAAAAAATTTAAAAACCAAACACCGTTAAGTCCTTATTAGTACCTATCATCAGTCTGTAAAAAAAATCAGCTTCATTCATCCAACGGTAACCTAGTTATATCCGTAGAAAGTTCGTGAAAAACCGACTAAGAATTGTTTTTTTACGGAGTTATCAAATGTGCGCGATTTTTTTAAATATTTTTTTAAGAGCTATTATCAACGTTTTCATTTGGTGTATAACTTATTTTCTCGAAAAACAACCTTTCAGAATTGGTACCGCAAGAAGTACCCGCAGCGCCTTAAGTCATATGACCTGAGGCGGCAGACGATCGATTTTAGCATACTCTGATAGGGCAAAATGGAACTCCATCGGTTAAAATTTTGATCATTCTCGTTCAGTGGATTTCGTGCTAGCTCCCCTACTATTACTGAGATATGCTTTTTGCTGATGGAGATTTCAGGGAAGATATCCTTATTGTCGACAATCTCAAAGAAACGACGATCCATCTGTTTCAGCAGAATAAAATTCTCTGATCACGGAGGTAAGACTGAGAGTAGTGAAAGCAGCAGCAGACATAATTTTAGAGGACATCTCAGGTGTACAATATCACTGAATACCCGCTCACTGACAAGTTTTTGAAGGATGTTGAAACGGCAATTGCACAAACTTTGCTCACTCTCTTGCTAACCGCTATAACCAGACTACCAATGAAACCCCGCCCGGACGCCCCCTAAACTAGGACAAATCCGGGGAAACCCGGACGGATGGCAACCCTACACTATAACAAAGATCCGAAAAAGAGCAAGAAAGTTTGACAAATTTCCAGAAAATGCGATTTTTTAAAAAAGCGCATATCTTCGTTACTATCAGTCGAGCTATCAGTCCTAGAAGCAGAATTTAAAAACGTAAATTATAGGAAATTGAGTTCTCTAGTCTAGGTATAACATTAACCCCCTTCTTTTTGTCTCTATTCACTGGACTTTAACTGATATTGCTTGGTTATTGGTTAACCATTTCTATTTTGTTTATTAGTTCATCTATTAAGGGGTCTATGGAAAATGCACCAGACTAAACGGATTGATAAAAAACCCCTACGGACACAACTGCTGTGAAAATCTCTTTGTACGTACCTCAATGTGATAAGTCTCATCAGGAAGATGCAGTGCGCCTGTCATAACCCCGTCATTGTCAATATGAAGATTAGCATCTGATTTCATTTCCCCAAAAACACGCCCTCGATAGAAATTGTTGTGATCTATAAATAAATACAATGGCAACGATTATTGCGACAATGGTTGCCATGGATTTTAAGCTACCCTTAAGCTAAGCTCCGCATAAATTTCTCAGTGCAAACGGGCATGAGGCACAGTTGTACAATGTCAGTTTAAACTTCTGTTTGTTTCTGAAATCTTTCAGTTAAACTAATCTGAAGTTTAAACTGACATTGTACAACGTACAACCATCAGGCCTTAATAGATAATAATAAATCATAATAATCATCTGCATTTGACCGGATTCTTTTGTTTATACAACAATTTCAATTTTATTTTGGATATTATGGTTTTCAGCATTGTGTGCCTACCTCTAATAATGGGCGACCAAAAATGAGTTGCTGTCGAGTCAAGAGTCGAGCTAGATGTTCAAGTTAAGTACGACTTCCCATGCAAACAAAAATTCCAAAGGCGACTTAGACAGCAAGTCATTTTTGATCGCATTGTATGTTTATAAACATTTTAATATTCCTTACCAAATTTAAAGATTATTGTAGTAAATTACTTAAATGGCATAAAGCAGATCTATTATCAAACATATAACCAAGTAGTACTAACCGAAATGCACAGACGTTTGCTTTCCATCTCCGTCAACACTGTACGCTTTAAATTTGGAATGTAGCACGTCCCGTTTCGGAGTTAAGATAATTCTGAAATCCTTCCCCAAAGCTTTAAATGCGACTTCTTTAATTGTATTAAAGGGATGATCGCTTTCTTGTAAGCCCCTCTTTACTACATGGTGAGACAAGTGATCGGCATGTATGATTTCAAAGTACTTTAGGTTGTTATATATTGAACCTAAAAAAACAAATTAAAGGAACAGCTAGGCTTGAACAGAACGAAGTACCTACCCTGTCCCACACAAGTTAATATTGCAACAGTAAACATTATCAGTAAAAATTGCATGTTTGTTCATATTCCTAAAGGTACCCTAATCACAATTATTTAATTTCTTAAATGGTAAAAAAAGATTGCAATAATTCAATAAAAGAAATCTTAGGAGTACCATTTGTCCGAATTTCTTTTGTTTATGTCCCTTGACTTGACCAATGAATTAAGAATACCAGGAAGGAGCATTGCTCAAGTTGTATACAAGAGAGAGTGGGACGGAGGAAGTCGGCCATTTGCAAAAGCTACTTATAACTCATTTTTGTTGTGGCTTTTGTAGTGACATTTTGGTTAGTTGTTGTGCTTGTGGTTGCTCCAAAACGGAAAAAAATAAAAGTTTGGGAATTACATTTCATGTGTAAGTATTGATACCAATATTATTTTTATATAGTACATGTACAGTTACAAATTTTTATCGGAATGTGTAGTTTGAGGTTAGTTAAACAAAAGTCATAGGCGGAGTAGGCACATGGGGGTTTAGGTTGTTTTCGTGTAAAATGTGTTAATATACTTTCTGTACATGTGGTATATAAGTAAAATGTGCACAGTTTGAACCTAATCAGCCTGAGCGTTTGGCAGTTATTGTGTTCACGCCTTTAGATGGACACTATTGACTCCCCTATAAAGCTTGCATCGCTTTGCTCTGCTGCTTTGTAAAGTTTGATAATTGACTAGCAATTAAAAGCAGTCAAATAGTATTTAATTCTGTACATGTATTATCTATATATATTTATGTAGCTTTCCGAAAGATGTGCATATAAGAAATGCTTGGATCAGATTTGTAAATAAGGAAGGATGGGTACCCAAAGGCATAAGTTATTTATGTTCTCGACATTTTGGTGAATAACAATTTGATCGATCATCCAAGCTGAAAGTGAGATTACAACCAAATGCTGTTCCTACACTGAACGTTACACGATTAAAATACATAAGTAGTTTTAGGAATACAAAAAATGGAGGTGTGTACGTAATTATTTTTAATTTAAGGAAAGATCTGTTGATTCTATTTATACAAGTGTACAAGAAGAAAATGACATTCTGGTCACACCTGGCCCTTCTAGAAGAGAATATACTCCATCTCCTACATCGGCACTAGCAACTCCCGTTTGTTCTCAACACTTGCAAGATACTCCTCGTAAAAGATCATTGAAAAGGAAGGTATCGGAATTACAAAGAAGAGATGTTTTAACAAACCGCAAAGTGCGAAAACTGCAGAAAATTGTGTGGCGACAAAAGAAACGGATTACAGTTTTAAGAACAATGCTAGTTGAATTAAAAAAGAAAAATTTAATCTTAGAGGAGCATGAAACTGTTTTGTTACAACATTTTGGAAATAATAAAGACATTATTCAAAGGCTCTTTCAAAAAACTGGTAAACAGTCTGTAAGTAAAAAGTTTGAGCAATCTGTGAGAGCGTTTGCAGTAACTTGACACTTTTTTAATTTTGTTTAAAGGTCAATAAACAATAAAGCAATATGTTTATTATTAATTCTTTATAATTGTATCCTTCTACAACTGTAAGGTAGGTACGCCACTGGAACAGGAAACTACTGCCGGCCATTTGCAAAAGCCATCGCGGTCTCGTGTAAATTGTTGATATTCTCCTGTATTCACCATTGACTGTGATGTTTTCTTAGAGAAGGAAGGAGTGAAGAGTGACAATTATCATCGTAAAGTGAAGCCCTCATTTGTTTGTTATGGCACCCAAATCATGGCCGCCTACAGTTCATTGGCGTAACGTTAAAACGGCAATCGTAGGTACATTTGTGTATAGTAAATACAATACAAACGTATTATTTTAAACAATTGTGAGCATCCTTGTACAGATAAGCGAATTGTTTTCAATATTGTTGTTTACTAGCATGCAAAATTTATTGCTATTTCACTAGATGATGAATGAATATGACACACATATTAAATAAGTAATGTGAGAAGAATCAAATCCTTACAGAAAGCCTCCGCAATATTGCACATACCATCCTCCGACACTCCATTTTCGAGATATTTACATCGACAATAGATATGTCTCATCCAGATGTTCCACACGCCTTCAATGAGAACTCTCGTCCGACACTTCGTTTTAGGAGCGATTCATTTCGACCTCACCAGAGTTCAGGCTATCCTTTAAGCCTTTGTAAGTACTCTGCTCCGACACATTGTTTTCTAAATAATCAGACGTAAAGTTTTGACTCGCCAAGGGTGTTCCTTCCAGACCTTCCAGTCACCCTACCCTCCACTGATACTCTGTTTTCGAGACAGAAGCAACTATAACCGACCGTGATAAGGGATTGAAGAGGAGAGATGCGGTGATAATTCCTTTGGTTGTAGAAAAAATGGTCAGCACAGCATGGAACATTAACAACGACGTCAAAGCATTTAGGTATCAGAAAACATATCTTTTCAAAGTCTAGAGAGGATAACTTACTACTACGAGTCAAAAAAGAGTTGCTGTCGAGTCACCTTTGGAATTTTTGTTTACACGGGAAGTCATATTTAACATGGAACTTCCAAAGGTGACTCGACATCAATCCTTTTTTGATCGCTGGTTATTAGCAGTAGAAGTGAATTCTTGTTTCATATTTTCCACCCATATGGTACGAATCTTTTCGTCTTTGGGAATTCTAAGTAATAGTACTACTTTAGTTTACATTGCAAAATACTTTACTGTATATTTCACAACACAGATTTAACAAAATGACAATTGTACAAGAAACATTTTTTGTATGCAAATTTGTTTACATAATAAAGTAGTACACAATTTTGTCTTGAAATGACTTTAAAAAGTAATTTAAATTGTGATGCCTTGATATGCGACCCGCATTCTTGCTGCACAAATGTCCATGGTAACCCAGAATGTCCAACTCGGCACCACACACGCGTACGACTTTCACATACTATGAGACCGAGACGAAGAGGCGTAGAAATGTTTGTAGTATTTTTATCCAGTAAAATACGGGGATGGATAACCTTCCAACCACGCTTCGCGTCTCCTTTTGTGACAATGGTCAACTTCATTTCCCCATGCAAGTATAGAATGGTGGGCTATTTCTGATATAGGAATGTCCCAGGCAGATTATCAAGCATCGTTAGCTTCAAGTGGTAGCTCGGAGGGACGACAAAGAATCTTCCGTGCATCTGTAATAAGTTGTACATATATTACTTTCCAACTTTTTCATCAATTTGCTACAAATTTATGGATACTTTTACGTTTATTATAGGTACAATGCGTACGCCATTGGTCAAAGCATACGGACTCGGATCAAAAAAAATCTGTAGCAATTAAAATAAAGGCGATATCTTTTCCATTGTAGTACATACTTGTACTCATTACATTTGGCAATAAAATTAAAAGTTATTTTCTCATGCATATTGTGGGAATATGAGGTAGACCGAATTAACATTTATTTATGTAACAAAGTAAACTGAACACTTCAACTAAAACTTAAGAACACAATGTATGTCTGTAAGTAATAAATGTCTGTTTGTATGTAGGTATTCAATATTTGTGTGTGTGTGTCTGATTTTACAAAGTTTGACAAGTGACAAGTGATCTCGCCACACAGCCGACTAATACTACATTTCTCCCCCACGGAAGAAAACAAAATAAAAGAAAATTAGTCCAGATATCGAGCAGGAAGCTTTCTGTTTCTCACAGGGTTCCTCCTTGGTGCATCATCATTTGAGTTACTACCTGGTATGTCTTCAGATAGGCTTTCCTGATGATTTTGGCTGTTCTGATCCGATGTTTGGTTCTGTGTTAGCACTTGTGAGGGTATTGAATATTCTGAGATTTCCTGTAAATCATTTGCTTCGTTATCAGAGACACCCACCGTCTTCTTCCTCATTTGGTCACAATGTTTTCTTTTGTTAGTACCATTTATATTAACTATATAGGATAGTGGACCCGTTTGACTTATTATTTCGCCAGGTGAGGAGCCCTTTTCGAAAGGATTATTTACCCATACTTTCTCCCCTTTTTCAAAATATTGTTCCGTGATGGCGGTATGGTCATGATTCTTTTTCTGAACGAATTTTTCGTACTCCATATTTTTGTCTATGTCTGGTTTTAGTAAATCAAAACGGGATCGAAGGTGACGTCCGAACATCATCTGACTTGGCGTTCTCTGTGTTGACCTCCTGACAGTATTTCGATAACAAAAAAGAAAACTCTGAAGTCTTTGGGATTGGTCTAATGTTCGGTCACTTGCGTACATTCTCTCTTTGAATGTTCGCACTGTACGTTCCGCTAGCCCATTTGATTTTGGATGGTAAGGTGTTATTTTTACATGTCTTATTCCATTTTCGTTACAGAAAAGTTCAAATTCGTTTGAAGTCAGTTGGGGTCCATTGTCTGTGACCAGAAATTTTGGCAGACCAAAACGTGCAAAGATGGCCCGCAAGGAGTTTATTATGCTAGTAGAGGTAATATTTTCCATGGGTATTATTTCTAACCAATGGGTATAGGAGTCTATTAGTATCATCCACATCTTTCTTTCAAAAGGTCCGGCGAAGTCCAAATGTAGACGACACCATGGTTCTGATGATATACCCCAGGGAAAAAGAGGGGAGTTGTGCTCGTTTTGTCTGGATTGTTGGCAAAAATTGCATTTTGCCACAGCTTGTATAATGTCAGAGTTGATATTTGGAAAATAAACGTGGAGTTTTGCTAATGATTGCATCGCGGTTATTCCTGGGTGACCGTCATGTAACATAGCCAGTACTTCAGGTTGGAGAGAAGATGGAATACAAACGCGGCCTTTCCATAATAAAATATCTTCCTCGAAAGATAGTTCATCCCGTTTTTCATAGAAAGTAAGTAAGTGTTTATCTAAGTATCTTTTATCGGGCCAGGATGCCTTTACATATGTAGTTATTTTGGATAAAACCTTGTCTTTGGCACTTTCTATCTTTAGTGTGCGTTTTGACATTGGCAGTTTTTTTATCCGTAGATGTAATAATCGCATATGGCCAGATAGAGTCATTTGATTTTTACTATTTGTTAGTGGAAGTCTTGATAAAGAATCAGCTGGATAGTTTTCCTTTCCCGGACTATAGTACACATCAAAATTATAGCTGTTTAAAATCATGGCCCATCTTACCAATCGATTACTAGCAATTTTTGGTGTTTGAAGGCTTTCGCCAAAAATGTGCTCCAGGGGCTTATGATCGGTGAGCAAAGTGAAACGTCTGCCATATAGGTATTGATGAAATTTTGTGACTGCGTAGATCAATCCTAAGGCTTCTTTATCGATAGTAGAGTATCGCTTTTCTATGTCGTTAAAAGAACGGGAAGCAAAAACGATAGGTTTTAGTGTACCATCGTAAAATTTGTGCGATAATACTGCCCCTGTTCCAACGTCACTGGCATCGCTTGAAACTATCAGAGTTTTAGATGGATCGTAATGAGGGTGTCATTTGAAGTTAACACATTTTTCAGTTTAATAAAAATTTCTGTGTCTTTAGTAGTCCAGTTCCAGTTTGTATTTTTCTTCAAATGTCGATGGAGCGGAACACATATTACATGAAGATTTTCTATGAATCGGCCATAATAGGTGATTGTTCCAAGAAAAGATCTTAACTGTGTTGTATTTATGGGTAAAGGCATTTTCTTTATTGCTTCAATACGGTCTTCAGTACTATTTTTCACTCAACGGTAATACTGTTCTTCAACCAATCGCATTTTGATTTTTGGGTCTTTATTCCAGCTGCTTGTAATCGACGTGAAACCATTTTAAGCCGATCCATGTGCGTAGACACATTCGGAGCTGTTATCAGAATGTCATCAAGGAAACATACAACTCCTTCTAAACCGGAAAGTATCTGGTCCATTGTACGTTGAAATAGAGATGGGGCAAAACTAATTCCCAGCTTGTAAGCGAAGTACCCTTTTGGCGTGGAAATGACTAAATATTTCCGGCAGTCTGGATGAACTTCCATTTGCAAATAGGCATCCTTTAAATCAATGTTTGAAAAATATTTCCCTCCCGAAAGTTTTGAAATGATGTCTTCGAAACGTGGTAAGGGGTAGTCATCAATTTGAACATGCTTGTTTATCGTTACTTTGAAATCTGCACATATTCTAAGCTTTCCATTCGATTTTAAGGCTACTACGATAGGAGAGGCCCATGAAATTGGAGTGACCGTTGTGTCCACTGGTTCTAGAACACCCTCCACGACCAGCCTATTTAGTTCTGCAGCCACTTGGTCCTGCAATGCTAAAGGAATATTTCTGGGACGAAAAGCTTTCGGTATAACATCACTTTTAATATGTATTCTGGCTTGATGCCCTTTTATAGCACCCAGACGATTTTCAAAAAGTAATGGAAATTCTTTTTGCAATTGATCGATTAGAGAATTCGTTTCTCCCCCTTCAATATTGTTAGAGACACTCATTTGTTTCAGATGACAAATTTTTGCCCCCGGAGGTAGTGGTAATTTAAAAGCTAGACACCAATCTAAACCGAAAAGTGGAACATCATCTTGTTCGGTAACATAAAGCGGTAAATTTAGTTTATTATTAAAAGCTTTAACTGTTACCAAGGATTTTCCCAAAGTCTTTATTGGTTTGTCACCATACGCTATTAAATCTGAGGTTCGGAATAACTGGCGTTCACCAATTTGTTTCCATGTAGTCTTCCCGACAACAGCGTGAACTGAGCCTGAATCATATAACATTTCAATTTTTTCTTTTTTCATTTTTTTTTTGTAAATATCATTTATTTGTAAATAACAATTGTATACACAACAAATTTACGCGTCAACAAACAAACATAGAAATATATATATATATATATATATATATATAAACTTGACAAAACCACAGTTTAAAAGAAAAGTTAAAGAGTTTTTGTCATTAGGAGTTTTTTATAATGAAAAAGAATATTTAAATAGATAGATGAAGTACCTCACCAATATGTGTTTAAATTGTATATATATATATATAGATACGTAACTTGTACATCCGAGGCCCGAAATAGATGTGTATTATACCAAACGAGGCCCGGTTTTCACATGCGAGGCCCGTTTCCGGGCCTCGCAGTGTAAGTGCGTGTATATCAGCTTATTTTCCATCCCTTTGCCCCCCTACACCCCTATACGGATTTTGTCAGGGGACTCGCATGTGCCATTTATATCACCACTTATACGGATTTTAGTTAATTGAAATAAGAACTAGGGGTCGCTGCAGTAGTTCTGTATAAGATTCTGTATAACAGTGCGAGGCCTCCGTACATACATTACATTTACAAAATTCTTGCTGGTTCCGAGGCCCGTATACGTGGCAACAGCGCTATTCTATTATAAGAATGAAAAACCGCAGTATGAAGCAATTTTTGATTCTAATAATTAATCCTTTCAATAAGTTACGAATTTTAAACAAGTTGAATTTTTTATTAATGGGGTTTGGGCATTTGAATGTATTTGAAGAATATTGGCCCTAAATTTGTGAACTGAATTTTGAAAAATGTTTGATACAGTAAAACAGCGGTTTCTAATTTATTTGGAAACAATTTAAACGCTATATCAGAATCAATAAAGATTTTGTGGAGCCTGCGTTGATTAACATTCATATTTGACTATTTATAAAACACTCTTCAAATTCATTCGCGTACTGAACGATAAAAATTGAAGTGGATGCATGGAACTGCCATTGTGTTTTTAAATAATTACGAGTCACAATTATAACAATGAAATGGCATGAAACACAAATTGGTAAATACAAACAAATACGTATTACATTACAAGATAGTCATCGTGTTGTGCACTTTGACGATATTTTAGGCATATTCTCACATGAAAGAAAGAGAAGGTCTGAAAGACTATATGTGGTCCTTCTAAGATTAGCTACCCTATTAGCCGCCCACTTAAAAATAAAGGACAAAAGAAAAATAAAAAAAAATAAAAAAGTAAGAACATCAACATATGGCTTAATTTTTCAACGACCGTCAAGCCTGTTTATAATTTTGTGTTGCTGTTTCTCTGTCCGTGTGCACGATATCTTTCTTTATAAACAAAAAAATAGTACACATGTCCTTAAAAGTATAAGAAAGGTAGCTATTGTTGTTAAGCTACGTAGATTATCAGGGCACAAAGTTATAACCCGAAAACATCTCAAAATTCCGATTAAAAAAAGATTCATTTTTTAAGTCTTGTTGCAAAGAAAATATGAATGCACGGTTTTCTGTGTAAGTAAATATTCCTTAAACCTCAAGAAACTATGCAGATGAATAAAAAATAAAATTTGAGCATTTGCAACTATTGTATTTGCACAATCCATTTTAGCGCATTTTTTAAGAATTAAAAAAAAATGTGCTTCTTATTGCGTTTTTTGTCTATCCGTTCTAACCCACTCGCAAATCTTAACAAAACATGATGGGGGCGATTTTATGCTAAAAAGGTCGCATCCATTGCCTTACCAGACTACGAATTGGGTTCCAACGGTCACCATGTTTAATAAACTTCATTATAAAATTGGGTTCAACCAAATTAGTTGCGTATGTTGACCAATAAAAACATTGCCTGCATGACGTTGTTTTTATTATCCCACCTGTACCATTGCACTGGGAGGAGAACAAAAGTACTTTGTTGTACTATTTATTACGTGTAAACCTTATTATTTGGTCCATTGATTACATAATTTTAGGCTAAACAGGACGCACCAATTGCTTTAAAATATGGTACCCAAAACCACCATGTTCAAAAAACATTTTTTTGCAAATTTCATTAGAGAATTGTGTGCAACCTATTAAATTGCGTATGTTGACCAATAAAATGCATTGCCAGCATAACACTGTTTTATCATCTACACCACCTGTTAGTACCTTTACTCTGGAAGGAGAACAAAATTGCTTTGGTGAACCATTTATTTTGCGAAAACCTTAACAAAGATGATCGGTCCATTAATTACATAATTTTAGGCTAAACAGGTCCTATCAATTGCTTTAGCTAAATATGGTACCCAAAGCCACCATGTTCAAAAAACAATTTTTTGTGAATCTCACTAAAGAATTGTGTGCAACCTATTAAGTTGCGTATGTTAACCATAAAATGCATTACCTGCGTAACATTGCCTTGTCATCATACCCCACCTGTACCAATGCACTGGAAGGAGAACAAAAGTGCTTTGGTAAACCATTTATTTCGCGAAAACCTTATCAAAAATGATCGTGCTATGTATTAATTAATTTTAGGCCAAACAGGCCGCATCAATTGCTTTACCAAAATATGGTACCCAAGGCCACCACGTTCAAAAAACATTTTTTTACTAATTTCACTAAAGAATTGTGTGCAACCTATTAAGTTGCGTATGTTGGCCAATAAAATGCATTTCCTGCATGACATTGCCTTATCACCTACTCTACCGGTACTCTGGACTGGGAGGAAAACAAAAGTGCTTTGGCAAAGCATTTATTTGCGCAAACTTTAACAAAAATGATTGGGCTATTTATTGATTAATTTTAGGCCAAACAGGCCGCATCAATTGCTTTACCAAAATATGGTACCCAAAGCCACCACGTTTAAAAAACATTTTTTTACAAATTTCACTAAAGAATTGTGTGCAACCTATTAAGTTGCGTATGTTGGCCAATAAAATGCATTTCCTGCATGACATTGCCTTATCACCTACTCTACCGGTACTCTGGACTGGGAGGAAAACAAAAGTGCTTTGGCAAACCATTTATTTGCGCAAACTTTAACGAAAATGATTGGGCACACGTTCAAAAAACATTTTTTTACAAATTTCACTAAAGAATTGTGTGCAACCTATTAAGTTGCGTATGTTGGCCAATAAAATGCATTTCCTGCATGACATTGCCTTATCGCCTACTCTACCGGTACTCTGGACTGGGAGGAAAACAAGTGCTTTGGCAAACCATTTATTTTGCGCAAACTTTAACAAAAACGATTGGGCTATTTATTGATTAATTTTAGGCCAAACAGGCCGCATCAATTGCTTTACCAAAATATGGTACCCAAAGCCACCACGTTCAAAAAACATTTTTTTACAAATTTCACTAAAGAATTGTGTGCAACCTATTAAGTTGCGTATGTTGGCCAATAAAATGCATTTCCTGCATGTCATTGCCTTATCGCCTACTCTACCGGTACTCTGGACTGGGAGGAAAGCAAAAGCTTTGGCAAACCATTTATTTTGCGCAAACTTTAACAAAAACGATTGGGCTATTTATTGATTAATTTTAGGCCAAACAGGCCGCATCAATTGCTTTACCAAAATATGGTACCCAAAGCCACCACGTTCAAAAAACATTTTTTTACAAATTTCACTAAAGAATTGTGTGCAACCTATTAAGTTGCGTATGTTGACCAATAAATGCATTGCCAGCATAACACTGTTTTATCCCCTACACCACCTGTTAGGACCATTACACTGGAAGGGGAACAAAATTGCTTTGGTGAACCATTTATTTTGCGTAAACCTTAATAAAGATGATCGGCCCATTTATTAATTAATTTTAAGTCAAACAGGTCGCATCAATTGCTTTTCCAAAATAGGATACCCAAAAACAATTGTTAATTGCAACTTTTAGAGACACTACACGTTGAGCCTTTAAAATCGTTTCGGGTGCATTAAGGATTAAATTATAGACTATTAGTTTCGTAATATACTGTTTTTGACATCAATTCTATATAAAGTGCATCAACAACCGCATCTTTAGTAAAACTTTCTTTTGAATATAATATCGTATGCTAACGTTTTTAAAATTACGTCTTATTGGTTTGAGATTTTCAAGTTTTTCAGGCAGGTTATGGATAACCACCGAAATTTTACAAATAAAACATTTTTCGGTATGGTGATTACTTATTGAAAAAATGCAAATTTAAAACAAATTATAAATAGTTTAACATATCAATTCAAAATTTCTCAAAAACTAAGAGACTCGCCAAAAACTGTGATTGACTTTTGAACATGGGTAGAACTTGTTACCCTCTCCTTTTTTTTATGCGAGCACTAATTTCATACAATAGGCACTTTGCTTTATTGGAAATGAAAACACTAGTTTAGGGTAATTTACTATGAATTTAAAAAATCCTTAAATGTTAAACTGCAATGTCTCGTTTTGAAAATCAAAACGGCACAGAAGGAAGTAGAAAACCATTCGAATTATTTATTTACGTAATCATCTTAGTACCGTATAAAAAGAATACAGAATATGCAGGTCAGGAAAAGAAAAACTAAATAATTGCATGTCAGATGATAACGACCTTAAAAACGCAAGTTCAGTTATTTTAATACGTAATATAACTGACCTGATTAATATTTTAGACTTGGCAACGTGGTCGGGACTCGCATGTACGCTGAGAGTGCCAATTATATACAGCGGGCCTCGCATGTTCAATGGATATACCACAGGGCCTCGTATGTACATTGCACATTTGTATATCTGAATTTTCTAAAAACATTACCCCTCAAGGGCGGATGTTGTTAAGTATCATTGGGACACTCCAAAAACCAAAATTTATAATTTTACAAGTGGTCTTTATGGCGGGCCTCGGGTGGCCTGTTCGATATATCGGGCCTCGCTTTTATAGATACTTACGTATACGTATACATGCCGTATAATACATTTATGCTTTTACTCTCCAACATCCATTTGGAACGAATTTAAATTAATGGAACTAGGTATACCTAGTCCATAAAATTAACTTAAAAGATAATTCGTTAAAGTATATGTTGACTTCGTTACTTAATGAAATGGATCGAGGCGAACATGAACCTTTGTTGCTTATGAGCTCGTTGTTTCCCAAACCGTGAACACCCATTTTTTTAAATCAATGAATATTGCATATGGAATAAATAGTCAATATCCTGGTGGAGATGCATTTTCCGAGGCGAATGGATAATTATAAAAAAAAGCTTCCTCACCGCGTCAAAATCCGAAATAACTTCATTTAGAAATCTCAAACACTCCAACCCTTGATTGTTCACAGTCTCTTCGGAATAAAAATCTAAAAATTAAAATTTAATCAACAACGTAACGTAATTATAATTTCATTTTACCGGAAAAGTTAGGCATAGAGGAAAACAAGACACCAATTTCTGCATAGCTCTGCGAATATAATTCGTCGTGCTGTCTTTTCCTATTTCCCATAAAATGCGCGGCCACATGTGGCGGCAGCACGTTGTAAACTAGTGCCTCGTTTCTCCTTCGCATATCTGAGGCACGTTCTCGTTGTTCGTTCACCTCTGAGCGCCAGAGAAATAAAAGCCTAGAAACCTCCTCCATCTAAAACGCAACACGGGAACGTGTACGTCAGATGCCAATAAAACGTATTACTCACATGTCTTGCCAGAAATATGAGAGCGAGGGTGGCTGTTACCAATAATCCTGATAGCGTGTATTTGCTTTTGGTAAAGCTGAAAAGTAATCGGAGTTTATATTAAAGGAAATGATGATATTAGAGATATACTTGGACCAATGCTTTCGAGATTCCTCGCAATCGAGAGCGGGCGCTAATAAAATAACGTTAACAACGCAGTGAGCTGCCGTAATTAAGACCATAAAAAGGGTTTTACATAGATAGGAAAGAGAAGCGGGAATTGCGGATGCAATCAGTATTAAAACGGTAAAGAAACTAAAATACGAAGGATAAAGGCATGCTGCGTTTGTGTCTTCCGTTAAAGAGCAGTTTTCTTGCACCTGCCCTAAATTTAAAGGCGAACAGGATATCTACAAAGTGCTCGTTTTATGACCGCCGTTTTTCCAGTTTACTCACCGTATCGGTAATATTGAGGGTCGTAAGTAACACTATACAAGTTATGGACAAAACCCTTTGCATTAAAATTGATTCATTGATCTTCCGGAAACACGACTTTAGGCAAATGGAAATTGGCTGCAATCAGTTGAGTCAATGCAAATAACGAATCACACAAGGGAGTCTCACCTCCGGAAGGAACTCCACCAACGAAATTGCGGAAATAATCATAAGTAGAAAGCTGCCGATTACAAACGAAAGAAAATTCATAAGTCTTCTGCAAAATTAAGGGATAAATTACTCGCCGCTAGCAGTCAGCGCTTACCTTGGAAGTACGATAAATTGCGAAACACCGATCGCTAATCTCACCACTAAGAATGCTTGTAGGGTGATATTGGAAAATGATTCGCTGTGAAGCTGGTACGATTTTTCTAACTCCGGCTTTATAAATCTCAAGGAGTGCATTCTCGTATTTTTCAACAGCTCTCTGAAAAACGTTGGAAATTTATTTCGCGGGTAGGTGTTAGAGTGGATAACTCACCTGTGACTTTCTCTACTAACCAATTCCTTTTTTAATCTATTTTTAAAGTCTTCGGAATCTTGGCGAGTTTTTGACGTGACTAAAGAGTCCTTCAAAATATTTTAAATTACATTTTTTCCGAGGATGAAAAAAATTTAATTTTACCTCTCCCTCGTCCTTACTATCGGAGGCAAAGTCGGCAATTACGCAACTGTCTTCTTCGGGTATTATGCGGCCACCGTTTTGTACTTCGGTCTTCGGCTCAGGCTGGTACTATAAACAAAATTGCGTTAGCGTTATTAAATAAGCAGCAGTTGGATGTGAAATAAAAAAGTCCTTTATACACCTTCAGGTGGTGGGTTTGTTGTTTTAATAAAATTGCTGATTAGGCGAGTTTGTCGCATAAAAAGATATGTCAGGGAAAATACTGCTAGGTATGTTAAATTGGGAGTGATCACAGTTTGCGTTCAGTTTTTCTGTTGACAATTCCAATGCACTGGGATAGATGAGCTTTTTGCAGGCGTTTAGTTTATCGCATAATCTACATGAAGTGTGAACTATTCATCAGGATGCTTTAGAAAACAATGAGTAAATAGTCAATTTTTTACACTTCACACTTGCTCTCATTTTCTAAATAATGTTAATTCATTTTTATGCAGCTATATGAACATCTTAAATTCCATTCAACGTTTTATTCGCGCTAAACGAAAAATTCTTTCTTAATTGCAACTACAAGATCAAGAATTTAAACTAGTTGTAAATCAGCATATGGAATAAGCGCATTTTTGGTAATACAGATCAGTATTTTAGTAGCAACGTTTAAAATTATCTCATGAGTAGTCTAACTCAAAATAAACTAGAGCCTGCACATCTATACACTATAGCAGAAAGCTTTTAGTGAAATTTTGAAGTATGTAGGTATTGCATGAGATCTCATCCGGACAGCCAGCCAGCCAGCCATAACGAATATAATAGAGTTTTTGTATAGTGGGAAAGGAAAATTATAAATATCGCGGAGCGACCGAATTTACACGATTCGGGAAATCTATCTTAGAACATTAATGCGTCGTTGGCAAAGCCGTGACAAACTTTTCAGAAATTGGATAGAGGTCAATTAACAAGTGCGCCCTCTTCTGCGTAGAGTTAGGTGAAACTTCATCTAGCGATGAACTGTAAATAACAACCATTCCTTGGAAAATTGTCTTATTTTACTTGAATTGAAATATTACATAGTTTTTTTTTTACTTCATTGTGAGTAGGAGTGTCGAAACCTTTTTATTGTAAGATGAAAGGCATTTTATCATGCGAGATCGTTTTGAAACTATGCCTATCTAACACTGTCATGAAAATCAAAAACGTACAGTTCAACGAGGGTAGGGGCATCAAGTTTTTCACTATGCAAACACTGTTGGGATGTGACATCATTGTTGGGAGTATGTACGTGCCATGTTTCAAATTATAAGACGGCTTTTAGACGGCGACACTGTATGCGAGGTACTCTATCAACACATTTTGTTGCAGAAGTTCGCGTATTCGTAAAGGAAAAGGGAATTGGCCACGGCTATCCAGGGGAAACGAGTCTTCCAGTGAAACAACCACCGAGGTTTGACAAAACTCATATAATTTTGGGCGCCAGGTCTGTACAAGTCACGCCAAAAATAAAAAAAATCAACTAAAAATGAAATAAGAATACAAGCTTTTCTGAATCCTCGGGCACCGGTGGGTATTTATAAACAATCTCGTCTTGGCAATGAAGAATCCATATACACAAATAATATTTAGTTACATAAAACAGTAGGAAAATAAATTAGCAATTCTGGGCCAGGATAGGTACACTTAACTAAATGAAAATGTTGAGCCAAGATTATCACTTATAAAGTAGGTATAGCTTAATCTTACCTCGATTACAGACAGAACATACAAAGAAAAATATACCAAAACACTACAATGCCCAAATCAGACCTAATTCCAATTAATTCAAACTTACGTATCCCATTAATAAATGGGTTTCCGATTGCGATATAGGTAAAAAAGAAAGATAGATCACATATGGCATAACATAAAAAGACCAGTGTTGAAAAGAGGAATTCTATGAAAATAACTTTACCTAAAGAAGATACAGCCAATTCACATTCGCGTAAAGAAGCTTAGATAATTAATTTAAACAATTTCAGCGTGTGGACTCTGGAATTTTCTCATTTAAATAAAATTTTTCGCAAAGATCGACCTGTCATTTCAACGACAAAAGCAATAAATGATCTCAATTCCAATAGTGCCAACTACTCGTAGCACACTAAGAGGGCATTCAGTCAGTTACACAAACCAAGAGTACATTCAACGGAACGTTACATTTCTGTGAACGAAAGGTCTCATGGGCGCAACCCTGTCAACGATGTATCTGGTCCGCATATACATAGTCAACTCTAACCAACCCTCGCGTGGGGAAGTCAACAAAAAATCTGAAAAAACTATAAAGAATAAAGTCCTTAGCAACCATATTCAGAAAAACGTAACACCAGGAAATGGTGGTGCGGTTTTTTGTTTAGGATTTAAATTTTATGGCGCGAACACGGAATATGACTACACTACATACTATACTGTAATGTAACTACAGGGGAGTCTCGTTTCTCTAGGTTGAAACAATGCCGAAGATGAGAAGGAGCCATCATTTACTCGTTGTCAACGTAATTTTTAAAGCAGATCAGAGGTTTTCATAGGTGAGTTTCCCTTCTGACGTTTTCTTTGAAACCAAGTAGAACAAAGAGCGTTGACTATCTTCCAAGCGCAGTACTTTACCCACTCGTGGTCTTTGCTTTAACAACTCGTCCATTCTTCCAAATCTTTTCCGGAATACGGAAGCTATACCTCTACTCATGCGAAGGTCTTCGGCGACACAATGGGCGATGGAAACGTTAACCGGAAGCTCAAAAATATTTTGACAAATTTCCTGAGTAACGCCAAATCGAACTTTCTTCCGCTGGGCGTAATTTGACATAAAATCGTTAAAGTTTGGCTCGATCCCAAAGCTGCGTTCCTCTTCTCGAATACCTCTAACTTCTTCGTTGTTGTTGAATCCGGCATATCGTGCGAGTCGATTAATGTGGACAACTTTCGGTTTCCGGTGGTTCATTCTGATACGATATATCACGTCATTTATTTTCTTGATCACCTCATACGGACCTTCCCATTGCCTTTGTAGCTTGGGAGAAAGACCTCTTCGTCTCTGTGGATTGTGCAGCCATACCAGATCTCCAGCTTCAAAAGTTTCATTGGCCGAACGGAGGTTGTATTGATTTTTCATGCGATCGCTGGCAATCTGAATATGACTTCTAGCCAAGTCGTGAATATCGTTCATCTTCGCCTTTAGTTGGTCAACATAATTTTCATCTGCGACATATTCTTCATGGGGTTTACGCCCAAACTCGAGGTCACATGGAAGGCGTAGTTCACGACCCAACATAAGGCAGGCAGGAGTCTGACCCGTGGTCTCGTTGACGGCTGATCGATATGCCATGAGGAACAGGTGGAGGTACTGGTCCCAATTTTTCTGATGTTCTGCCACGACTTTTGAAAGATATTTACCCATCGTTCGATTCATTCTTGGTTTTATTGGCTCCTACCAATCGACAAACATCTTGGAACAAAGCCGATTCAAAGTTCCTTCCTTGGTATGAATGGATTTCTATAGGAACACCAAAACGTGTAAAGAACTCCTTTACCAACACTTCTGCAACTGTTGCTGCCTCTTGGTTTGGAATGGCGTAAGCTTCAGTCCACTTTGTGAAATAATCCATAGCCACTAGGATATATTTATTTTCGCCATCTGTCTCGGGAAACGGTCCTGCGATATCGATAGCAACTCGTTCCATCGGACTACCAACGTTATACTGCCTCATGGGTGCCTTCTTCTTGGAAACTGGTCCGTTTTCAGTAGCACATAACTCACATTTTTGACACCATCGCCGGACATCTTCTTTACGGTTGACCCAATAGAATCGCTCACGTACCCTTTGCAACGTTTTCGTAATACCAAAGTGTCCTCCGGAAGCGCCGTCATGCAATTTTCGCAATACTTCTGACACTTTGCTTCTAGGTACTACTAATTGCAGCGTCGATTCGGTGCCATCTTCACTTTCAAGGGTCCTATACAACAGGTTGTCTTTCAGAGTCAGGCTATTCCATTGGCCCCAATAACTCTTTACTTCAGGACTTGTGGCACTAATGTCTTGCCAGCCTGGTCTTTGTCCGTGGCGCATCCAATTCAGAACAGTTTTTATACTTGGGTCGTTTTCTTGGGCCGTTTTGATTTCGCTTGGTTTCCATTCCTCACTCTCTACAGTTGTTCGTCGCAGATGGCCAATCTTGTCTTCTATTTTAGAACAATGTGTGCAGTTGTCCTTGCACGGTCTTCTTGACAAAGCGTCTGCATTTTTGTGAACTTTTCCAGACGACGAAATGTTTACAGTGAAGATCGGGGCTTTGTTTCTGCAGGTCGACGATAGCCCCTTCCTGTCGACCTTTCTTAGTTTTCCGACTGCTGCAATGGTCTTTGGCAGTTGCGGCGAACGTGTCCAATCTCGCCGTGGTTCACGTTTCTTTGCCAGTGACTGTATTGCTTTATTGACCTTTTCTTCCATTACTTTACTGACCTTTTCTACCACTACTTTACTGACCTTTTCTTCAAAACTTTCAGAACCACCTTCCTCTTCGATGGTTCTTACCCAGCTGTCACTGCGAGGTTCCACCATACGTACTCGCGCACTTCCATGACTAGCTTTCTTGGCGGCTTCGAATTCTAACGCATGGGCCAAAGCTTTCTCAATTTTGTCGTGCCTAGCCAGGCTCAAAGCCTGCTGGGCATCTCCATCACGAACGGCATCGATAAATGTTTGTACAGTCAGTTGATCAAGAAAGCTCTCCGGTGCCGTAGGGTATGCCAATCGAATCAGTCTAGCGATGTCCGCTTCAAGTTCCTGCAAACTTTCTCAAGGTTTCTGCATTCGGTTCTTGACTTGGGCATAGTAAACTTGCTGAAGGTGTTTATCGCCATATCGCATTTCGAGTCGCGCTACTATTTGTTGGAAGTTCTGTTGATCCTCGGGGATAGTCCGCAACACATCCAGAGCATCTCCTCTCAGAGCAAGAATCAGGGCTGTAGTTTTGTCTTGAAGAGTCCATTTATTTGCCGCAGCCGCTGCTTCAAACTGTCGAACGTACGTGGTCCAAGGAATCTTACTATCAAAAGTAGGTGGCTTTACTCGGGCTTGCTGAAC